ATATTATTAAACAGGCAATGATGTGTATATCACAATGACCAATCAAATGGTCAGCTTCAGTTGATTTTTGTATTCTTAATACATCTGAAACAACAGATACTGGAGACAGACCTTGTCCAACATGGATACTACGGCCGGCAACTGTTACAGCTGAAGAATCCAACTCTGAGCCTGTAATAGAAGGAAACCGGATCATCGACATAGTGTTGATGGTGAAAATGTGGAACACCATCATCAGACTTCACGCCGGACAACCAAACACTACATCATGCATGGTACCGGAGTTTGAACTGGACACCGAGCGGAAAAGGGCTCTGGGATGGAGTTGTGCTGTCCGATGTAATAAATGCCAGAACAGATCTCCACTGTACAAACTACATAGAGAGGCAGAAACGGATAAGCCCGGACCAAAGCCAGCCCTTGTCAACAAGTACCTGCCTTCAGCTTTGTGTGGCCAGGCTGTCAGCACCAAAGGAGCCACGTTACTTCTCGGACACCTGAATATACCTGCAGGAGCCAAGAGTGGAGTGCAGCGACAGGCAAATCAAGTGTCCAAGGACATTACTGCCCTCAACAAAAAGGACATGTCCGAGAAGACCAGACTGGTGGTGGAGGCCAACACCCTGAGAGGAGATGATTCCCCGAGCACCATCGGACTAGCTGTGGATGGGCGGTACAACAGTACATCATTTGGAAGTGCTAAGAAGCCAGGGATGAATGCCTCACAGGGGTCAAGTCTGGGTATCGAGACATCTACCCCTAAGAAGTGGATACTTGGACGTGCCCTCCACAACAAACTTTGCTGGACAGGAGCTTGGCTGAGAGGGAAAGGATATGATGTCACCTGATCACTGTGTCATTAGGTTTGAATACAACTGCTTCTTCAATCAAGTAGGGAGGTCAAACATAAACTTAATCAACTCAGCTCAGAGGAAATATATCAACGCCACCACCAATACAAACCTGCTGTCAAGAAAAGAAGTATGTTGTTGTTAGCAGAACAGCACAAGCAGCATGCGAAAAGGTCCAGGTCCGCTCGGAAGTCTGACTACAGGAGAGGTCAGCTAGATCCCAACATCCATCCATGTAGGGGAGACAACCGACCTCAGGACCACCTGTATTGAGAAGAAGAGGTGACAACAAATTTATTAGAGACATGTCAACAATCAGAAAAAAAAACACAAAATAATGTAACAACAACAGCAACAACAACAACAAAATATATGACTACCTAATGAGGGAACCTCCACGTGGTGGTAGTCGGACAATGTTGTATACATCAGTGTACAATAGCTAATACCCTCAAATCAATAAAAACTCAATTACATTTTCAAATTCAACATGCAGTCACTGAACCCTAAATGACCATAACACACATTTGAATTTAAACAGTACTGCCTGTTATTATTTACAAAATGAGGTTCTGAACTTATGTGCTCTACATTTAAACATAAACTATTATGACAGAGATGGGAACAGTCCAGATCACTTGACAATTCTAAATTTTCAGAAAAACAAATAAAAGCAAGTCTGTGTGCATGTTTCTTTTTCCATTTTAAATCACTGGGGTCCTTAAATGACAGAATTCCATATTTCCCTGTCCTTGTTACAGGTCCAATCCAAATCCTACACAAGCCATTATCTGGGCTAACCACAGAATTTTCTAAGATCTTGTACTTGTATAATTTGAAAAAAATCCTCCATCTTAACTTTTAAAAATCTGGCGTAGGAATACACAAGAACACAAATATGCTAATTTGATGTTATTTATAGATGTCCTGATCACTCCAGAAAATAAAGTTTAAAAATTTTCTAAAAATTTAATTCAATTAAAATTTTAATTATAATCGAAGTGATGAATTAAAAATTATTTCACTACCTAATCAGTCATGAAATATAGAACAACCATGCCAATTTGTATGAGAATCGGTCAAAAAATGTGGGTATGAGAAATAAAAACATGGATTTTTAGGCATGTCATTAAGGACTAAGACCACAATTAATTTCACTATATGTTTCATTGTAACATTAAAATTCATAACTAAGTCCCAAAGTTTCATCTGCAAATTTCCATTTCACCTGGCCAAGATCAACATCTGAGAAGCAAAATGTAAAAGTTTCAACCCATCATGTTGGGCATTTTCTGGAGATATACCTCCATATGTGTCACCAACGTCAATTATATACATCCGGGTCAGGGGTAAAGGTGAAAACAGGACTTTTTACACCGGATCCTGCAGCACAAAATACATGTTCAATATGAATGATTTACACACTGACAGCTAGATTATCATCTCTATAACACATCTACAGCAAATTTATAGGCAAACATCCAATTCAAAGAGGCATATTATTTTTTTTCCCAAATATACATACATTTTTTCGGGACTTCATTCGTGGGTACTGAAACCGGAAGTATTTAATTGTGGTCTTAGTCCATACGTCTCTAGCCTAACGAAGTCAAGCGTTTAGCGTCTCTTTATGGACATGTTTATTTTTTAAGCATTTTGATTGAACATGTGTTACGTCCACTCTTAGACTCTATAGCCTTTCGGTCTTTCATGGTGTTGGTTATGACACGGACTTATATACACATACTTAGGTGAACAAATGTTTGTATATACTTTGGGTTTCCGCCCATTAGAAAGGGGGGGGGGCGGCAATAGTGGAAATAGAGTAAATTCTTTAAAACCACTCTTCAGCTGTAAGAATACCTGGATGTTGCCCCAATTTTGCTTGAAGCATGCTTTGATGAAGGGGATGAAATTTTGTATAATGGTGGAGGGCCAGAGGTGTGGGGCTTAGTTGTGTACAAAGAGTGCATCTCCTAATCCCTGTTGGGAGGAGGGCCAAGCCTATTACAAGGAAATAGATTTAAGTGTTTTAAAAATGTTTCCTTTAGTTTGAATTAGTCAATTTAAGAAAACTAAACTGGGTGAATGATAGTCTTTAATGCATATTGTTTTAAATAATCAGTTAAATTTCTAGTGAGTTAATTTGAAATAGTTGGCAGAGATTGCTACAGATGAAGGAATCTGTGGGCAAACTCTAATTAAAATTTGATGTTAATTTGAACTTTTTATTACATTAAAGGCAAATTGCATGTATTTACTGCTTTGATTTCAATTGATCTGAACAAATTAAATCATAAAGAATTTGTTTTGAGCTTATTGGGTTAAAGTTTATAAAATATATATCAAGAAAAATTAACGTAGCTACTACCTCACACTGGTTGTTTGTGTATTAGGTTCCGTTGCATTTTGTTCCACAGGACATAACTTAGGCCGATCTTCAGACTGTAATGATGGAAGGGGAGAAACCCAAGCCCAAATGGAGTACAGTAAACATGAACCTTCTCCCTGTCAAAGCATTCTTCTTTCTTAGCTTAGCAGGTACGTGTTCACCTTATACACAGAAGTTAATCAATTCAACTTATCTAAGAAATGTTGAAAGACAAAAGTGTCAGCAGAATGTGAATGCTTTCTGGAAATAATTTTATTGGAAGCTTTTCTTGGCTGTAAATTTTTGTATTTGATCATATTATCTGTGAAAAAATGTTAAATTGGAGAGTTTGGAAGGGGGAAGAATAATGTTATAACATGTTGCATACATCTGTTAATATCTGATGCTGATGAACTCGGAAAGTAAAGCTGTATTTCACTCAGCCTGATATGTTTTTGTAGCTATAGGCTCTCATGCTACAGCATGTATTATAAGTTTATATGGATATTTTGGTATTGTAAATTGTGTGGAAGATATTCAAGACTTTAACGGCTTTTTAGGCTTTGAAACTGTTTTAAAAAATGTACTTGATTTTTTTACAGTTTCAAATTTCATTGTCATCAACTTGAAAATACAATTATGTTTCAGACACAAAATTTAAACAAAGATCAATTGTTCTGTAATTAATGGGTTGTGGGCCTTGACATAAAGCACATCGTATTAGTATAACAAATATATACACCAAGTTCCATGATCCTAGTTCAAATGCAAGCACAGTTATGCACCAAATGTGAAATGTAAACAAAGGGCAGTAACTCTAAAATGTAAGGGTTACAGGCCCGTACCTAATTGGTACACTGCACATTATCTTAGTATAAAAATGTGTTCCCAAAGTTCCATTATTCCTGTTCAAGTGCAAGCAAAGTTATGTGGTGGACCCAAAATTTTAAAAAAAGAGCACTAAATTTGTAAATAAAGGGTTGTGGGCCTTCAGTCACCTTATTGTGGCTTAATATGTACACATCATGTTTCATGGTCCTATCTTAACTGTGGATATAGTTATATCCTAGACATTACGTTTATGACAGGTGTTGTGTTAATACTAAATGTACATACCTTTATGACAGGTGTTGTGTTAGTGATAGATTTACTTACCTTTATGACAGGTGTTGTGTGTTAATACTAAATGTACTTACCTTTATGACAGGTGTTGTGTTACTACCGATGAAGGGAAGGTGTGAACGACACACTTACTATAGTATTGAACAAAGTATTGATACTATTGTGTTGAAGTATTCAAATAATCGAGTCAAGTATACAACGACCTCTGTTTATGACAGGTGTTGTGTTTACATAACAATACTAATAATCGCTAAAAATGTCCGACGACGGCAACAGTACGCAAAATTTTCTTCACCTTTATGACAGGCGATGTGGTGTGTTAATGATAGATTCCATCACCATACCTTTAAGAAATATGACAGGTGTTGTGTTAATACAACGTAACTGAATATGTATTCAATGTCATGAGACAGAGGCTTCGGGCAAATACCCGACTTGTGTCAGAATTTCTGAACTTGCAGTAGTAAATGCTTGTGTTTTTTCACATGTTGCGGATATGTATTTTTCTTACCTTTAATGACATATATCAGGTGTTGTGTTACATATAATAGATTGGGCTTACTATACCTTTAAAAAAATGAATAAATAAAACAGGTGTATGTGTATATTCACTGTTAAGATGTTAGATTTACTTACCTTTATATATATTTTGTACAAATTAGGTGTTGTGTTAAGGTATCATTGGGTGTAGAACGAAACAAATACAACCCAATTAGATTTGTGACTTGGACTCTTCCAATTAACCTCTCGCTTTACTTACCTTTATGACAGGTGTTGTGTTAGTGATAGATTTACTTACCTTTATGACAGGTGTTGTGTTAGTGATATATTTACTTACCTTTATGACAGGTGTTGTGGTAGTGATAGATTTACTTACCTTTATGACAGGTGTTGTGTTAGTGATAGATTTACTTACCCTTATGACAGGTGTTGTGTTAGTGATAGATTTACTTACCTTTATGACAGGTGTTGTGGTAGTGATAGATTTACTTACCTTTATGACAGGTGTTGTGTTAGTGATAGATTTACTTACCTTTATGACAGGTGTTGTGTTAGTGATAGATTTACTTACCTTTGTGACAGGTGTTGTGTTAGTGATAGATTTACTTACCTTTATGACAGGTGTTGTGTAAGTGATGTCAGGCTGTCCAGTGTCCCTGAAATTCCTAAAAAATCCTGATTTTTTTCAGTTTTGCTAAAATTCCTAAAAACATGAAAAATTCAAAGGGAATTCCTAAAAAAGCCCCAATTTTTCACTTCATTTCCTACTTTTTTTATATTTCTTACAATTTACTGAAAATGTTTTCATTAAATTCATACTTAAAATGTATTTTAATGTAGTCTGTAGTTCTAATTCAGGGTAGACAATGAAAGGCAGTTGACAAGTGAATCTATGTACCCAGATTGTTATTGGTTGTGACTGAGTGACAGAGGTGTGATCCTTAAGGTCACAGCCAACAGCAGCTGGGACACTGAAACCCTGGAAGACACCTTTCCTGCAATTAAGGCATTGTATGTTAGTTTCTATTTTGTCAAATTTGCAAAAATAAGTCAGTTTAATGCGTTCATACTCCCTATTCTAGTTACAAAATTCCTAATTTTAGCCCTAAATTTGCCCTAAAATTTTGCTATTTTAGCCCTAAATTTGCCCTAAAATTTTGCAATTTTAGCCCTAAAATTAGCCCTTATATTCTTTCTAGAAGTGCTGGACAGCCTGTAATGTGTTAATACTAAATGTATATACCTTTATGACAGGTGTTGGAGTACTGCTGCCGTTCATTGCCCTGTACATGAAACAGATTGGCCTAACAGAGTCTGAGACGGGAGTTATATATGGTATCATGCCCTTTATAGGATTCTTCACTCGGCCAATCTTTGGTTACATTTCAGACCGTTGGAAAAAACACAAGTTATCTTTGATGATATGTTGTATCCTGACTGGCATTTTTTATTTGCTCCTGCTCTTTGTGCCTCAAAGTCAATCAACATACATAGATATAAGGACCAACATACACTGCGGTCAGTACAACTCCTATATACATGATTGTAACCATATCAACATGACAAATTCTCTCACCTGTCCTCTCACCTTTAATTCATATGCTGCTCTATCAAAAAAAACGGTTGAAAATTCGAGTATTGTAAGTCTACAAAATGACAGTGATACAACTTCGTACTTACCTATAGTTGACGAGAATCATTCAGATTCATCGTGCAGCATATCTTGTCATTATAAAGAGGGAAACAAATTTCAAACTAAGATTTGTTTTACAAACGAAGTTGATGTAAACAAGCACTGCTTTGATATTTCGGTCAATGTGAACAAAGAACCTGATTTCAGATTCAGTGTTGAAAACATCTTCAACATCATTAAACGAGAAGTTCTTCAAGACGAACAGAGAGTTGGGGACCTTGTTTGTCGAGACTTTGACATCAAGTCCATCACATTTCGTGAGAAATCCTACTGGCAGATGTTATGTGACAGAGACACTGAAATGAACTGTTCCATGAAGTGTTACAAGTCCAGAAACAAGGCCTGTGAGGTCAGTGAGGCACAGAATGTCAATCAAACTGTTGCATTTTTCTTTGTTTTTTTCCTGCTTGGAAATATTTTCTTTGCTCCCATTTTAAGTTTAGGCGATGCCATGACTTATGACATTCTAGGAGAACGTAGGAATGTGTACGGGAAACAGAGACTCTGGGGAACTGTAGGATTTGCCTTGTTCAGTGTTACCTCAACATTTCTAATGGAATTCCTGAGTGATGATCCAGCTAAGGCTAACTTTACTGCCTCATTCTTCCTGTTTCTAGTGTTATTTGTACTCACAGCTGTCAGTGTCTTTAAGATTTCTGCATCTGAAGACATTGTTAGCAGCAGTAATTTCAGGGATGTATGTAAGCTGTTCCATTACTCTAAGGTTGTAGTGTTTTTGCTGGTGGTGCTGTACTTTGGATTGTTGACAGGAGTGATTGAGACATTCCTTTACTGGTATCTTTCTGGCCTGGAGAGTTACATCACCATAATACCAGGCCTTTGTTTACTCGTTTCCTGCTCTGTGGAAACACCTGTCCTGTTTTTATCAGGATACATTATCAAAAAAGTGAGTCACCTGTGGTGTTTGTATGGGGTGTTTGCAGCCTATGCATTACGTTTCTTTCTCTACTCGGTGTTGAGCAATGCCTGGTTTGTACTGCCTATAGAGGTGTTGCACTCCATCACCTTTGGTCTAATGTGGGCCACCTCCACCTCCTATGCTAGCATCATCTCCCCACCAGGAATGTCTGCCACCATACAGGGAATCATTGGCGGATTACACTTTGGATTTGGTAAGTTTTTCCAAGGAAGATATTTACATTGAGTACAGCTTCAGATGAAATTTTGTCAAGATTGATCCACCGTTATCGAGAATCAGATTTGCATACAGATACTGTTATTTCGAGAAAGAATATTCATTCTGCCTCCTTAATATAAAATAATTTGACAGTACATACATATGGTATTGCGTCATTTGTAGTTTTATTTCTGTCAATCTTCTAAAATCTTGGTAGACTTTATCTCCATGGCATGAAGTGATAACTATTTTGTACTGGATGGTATTGATTTTTAAGTCATCTGACCTGCAAGTTCAAATAATTAAGAGCAAAAGAGGAAAGAATAGAGAAGAAGGAAAAGGTACCCTTTTAATGAGGAAATAAAGACAATTGTGGGCGTCAGCATCCTGCTGGGATCTCCTTGGTTCTTTTTTTTACACATGAAATTGTAACTATCTTTAGAATAAATGTATAACTCTTGTTTCACAGGTAAGGGTATAGGCAGCATTGTGACAGGATTTCTGTTGAAGCCGCTGGGATTTGTGTGGACATTTCGTCTGTTCAGCTTCCTCTCTCTTGGCTTTCTCATACTCTACATCTTTATCAACCAACTGGGCCTGAAACACAGTACACTTGACCAGAAGAAAGACTCCGAAGGTTTGTTGGGCCAGCATTGACCTTAATTGACATTTTTAGTTTACATATATTGACCACTTAGATAAGTGGTGATAAACAGCCCCTATTTCCATTGTTTTAATAGCTAAAACTATGTACTTAAAGACCATTTTGCTTCTGGAAAAAGATGTTCCAGTCATTCAGGTATATATTAGTTATTCTGTGTAGCTTACTTATGATAGATATTTGTGAAGATTACGGTAACCATAGGCATATTTATCCAGTAAGGATGTCTGGTGATGAGCTGACCAAGTCTGGTTTCATTGTCCTGTCATTAGTCCTACCTTTACTTTAACTTCACTCAAGATTTGCATGTTACTGCCTCCAGGGCTTGCTGTAGGAGGAATAAAATGGTACTCATTTTGGCCAACTGAAATTTAAGTGTATTTATCAAAACAAATTTGGGAGTTGAGCACATTTATGAAGTGATTCACTCACGTTATTGTAGAAGGAAGAGGTATATAATATCCTCTATAGAGACATCTGCTTTGTGGTTGAATTTGTTGTTCAATACATTTTACACTGAAATCTCAAAATAAGACTGACATTGAAATTTGTCAGTGCCATAGATTGATAAATATTGTTGATTGAATGTTTGATCTTGATTCACAGAAAATGCAGAAGCTACGATATCAAATGACAGCACTGTAGATGTCGGCCAAAATCTGCTTTCTGATCAGGAGAAACGTGATATGGAACCCCTAGCTGTTCAAGATCAGAGCTGATGACTTGTCATCAGATGTTACAATTTAGTGGACCACAAAAGTTACCCATGTGTTTTTTTTTTAATTTTTCACAAGGTCAGGGATCTTACATTATACATAAAGTGTGGTTTTTGTTGGCCACACTCTAAATAGTCCATGATACAAGCAGTACGACAATGGTGGAGATAGCGACATGTTGATGGTGTCGTTGATCAGGTTTATAATACCCTAACTACCAAAGTTGATGATCTACAGCGATCTGTCTGTGTTTACAAGTTCCAAACAAGGTCACTACCCTATATGCTGCATTTCTTATCCAACTGTCAAAATACACATATTCACAAACATCATCTCTTCAATGACTTTGTGTTTCAACCTTTTGCTATCAATAGAAATGAGCAGAATTTTTGAATTAGTACGCTACAAGCTTTATTTTTCTGTCTTATACATATGTGTTTATAAACAGAACTTGTTGAGTTCACATTCAACTTTTTATAATCCAATACTGCCAGTTTTATCATTACATCAGTAAATAGTTGTTACTATAAACCGTTTTGTAATTTGACAGAAGATACTGCCAGTTTTATCATTACATCAGTCAGGATTTCTGTATTATTGACCCTGTTACGGTATACAAAAATTGCCAGTTTTATCATTACATCAGTCAGGATCAGTTCTGTATTATTGACTGTCAGGTTTGACAGAAGATACTGCCAGCTGTTCTATCATTACATCAGTCAGGATCAGTTCTGTATTATTGACCCTGTTACTGTCAGGTTTGACAGAAGATACTGCCAGCTTTATCATTACATCAGTCAGGATCAGTTCTGTATTATTGACCCTGTTACTGTCAGGTTTGACAGAAGATACTGCCAGCTTTATCATTACATCAGTCAGGATCAGTTCTGTATTATTGACCCTGTTACTGTCAGGTTTGACAGAAGATACTGCCAGTTTTATCATTACATCAGTCAGGATCAGTTCTGTATTATTGACCGTTACTGTCAGGTTTGACAGAAAATACTGCCAGTTTTATCATTACATCAGTCAGGATCAGTTCTGTATTATTGACTGTCAGGTTTGACAGAAGATACTGCCAGCTGTTTTATCATTACATCAGTCAGGATCAGTTCTGTATTATTGACCCTGTTACTGTCAGGTTTACAGAAGATACTGCCAGCTTTATCATTACATCAGTCAGGATCAGTTCTGTATTATTGACCCTGTTACTGTCAGGTTTGACAGAAGATACTGCCAGTTTTATCATTACATCAGTCAGGATCAGTTCTGTATTATTGACCCTGTTACTGTCAGGTTTGACAGAAGATACTGCCAGCTTTATCATTACATCAGTCAGGATCAGTTCTGTATTATTGACCCTGTTACTGTCAGGTTTGACAGAAGATACTGCCAGCTTTATCATTACATCAGTCAGGATCAGTTCTGTATTATTGACCCTGTTACTGTCAGGTTTGACAGAAGATACTGCCAGCTTTATCATTACATCAGTCAGGATCAGTTCTGTATTATTGACCCTGTTACTGTCAGGTTTGACAGAAGATACTGCCAGTTTTATCATTACATCAGTCAGGATCAGTTCTGTATTATTGACTGTCGGGTTTGACAGAAGATACTGCCAGCTGTTTTATCATTACATCAGTCAGGATCAGTTCTGTATTATTGACCCTGTTACTGTCAGGTTTGACAGAAGATACTGCCAGCTTTATCATTACATCAGTCAGGATCAGTTCTGTATTATTGACCCTGTTACTGTCAGGTTTGACAGAAGATACTGCCAGCTTTATCATTACATCAGTCAGGATCAGTTCTGTATTATTGACCCTGTTACTGTCAGGTTTGACAGAAGATACTGCCAGTTTTATCATTACATCAGTCAGGATCAGTTCTGTATTATTGACCGTTACTGTCAGGTTTGACAGAAGATACTGCCAGTTTTATCATTACATCAGTCAGGATCAGTTCTGTATTATTGACCCTGTTACTGTCAGGTTTGACAGAAGATACTGCTAGTTTTATCATTACATCAGTCAGGATCAGTTCTGTATTATTGACCCTGTTACTGTCGGGTTTGACAGAAGATACTGCCAGTTTTATCATTACATCAGTCAGGATCAGTTCTGTATTATTGACCCTGTTACTGTCAGGTTTGACAGAAAATACTGCCAGTTTTATCATTACATCAGTCAGGATCAGTTCTGTATTATTGACTGTCAGGTTTGACAGAAGATACTGCCAGTTTTATCATTACATCAGTCAGGATCAGTTCTGTATTATTGACCCTGTTACTGTCAGGTTTGACAGAAAATACTGCCAGTTTTATCATTACATCAGTCAGGATCAGTTCTGTATTATTGACTGTCAGGTTTGACAGAAGATACTGCCAGCTGTTTTATCATTACATCAGTCAGGATCAGTTCTGTATTATTGACCCTGTTACTGTCAGGTTTGACAGAAGATACTGCCAGCTTTATCATTACATCAGTCAGGATCAGTTCTGTATTATTGACCCTGTTACTGTCAGGTTTGACAGAAGATACTGCCAGCTTTATCATTACATCAGTCAGGATCAGTTCTGTATTATTGACCCTGTTACTGTCAGGTTTGACAGAAGATACTGCCAGTTTTATCATTACATCAGTCAGGATCAGTTCTGTATTATTGACCGTTACTGTCAGGTTTGACAGAAGATACTGCCAGTTTTATCATTACATCAGTCAGGATCAGTTCTGTATTATTGACCCTGTTACTGTCAGGTTTGACAGAAGATACTGCTAGTTTTATCATTACATCAGTCAGGATCAGTTCTGTATTATTGACCCTGTTACTGTCGGGTTTGACAGAAGATACTGCCAGTTTTATCATTACATCAGTCAGGATCAGTTCTGTATTATTGACCCTGTTACTGTCAGGTTTGACAGAAAATACTGCCAGTTTTATCATTACATCAGTCAGGATCAGTTCTGTATTATTGACTGTCAGGTTTGACAGAAGATACTGCCAGTTTTATCATTACATCAGTCAGGATCAGTTCTGTATTATTGACCCTGTTACTGTCAGGTTTGACAGAAAATACTGCCAGTTTTATCATTACATCAGTCAGGATCAGTTCTGTATTATTGACTGTCAGGTTTGACAGAAGATACTGCCAGCTGTTTTATCATTACATCAGTCAGGATCAGTTCTGTATTATTGACCCTGTTACTGTCAGGTTTGACAGAAGATACTGCCAGCTTTATCATTACATCAGTCAGGATCAGTTCTGTATTATTGACCCTGTTACTGTCAGGTTTGACAGAAGATACTGCCAGCTTTATCATTACATCAGTCAGGATCAGTTCTGTATTATTGACCCTGTTACTGTCAGGTTTGACAGAAGATACTGCCAGTTTTATCATTACATCAGTCAGGATCAGTTCTGTATTATTGACCGTTACTGTCAGGTTTGACAGAAGATACTGCCAGTTTTATCATTACATCAGTCAGGATCAGTTCTGTATTATTGACCCTGTTACTGTCAGGTTTGACAGAAGATACTGCTAGTTTTATCATTACATCAGTCAGGATCAGTTCTGTATTATTGACCCTGTTACTGTCGGGTTTGACAGAAGATACTGCCAGTTTTATCATTACATCAGTCAGGATCAGTTCTGTATTATTGACCCTGTTACTGTCAGGTTTGACAGAAAATACTGCCAGTTTTATCATTACATCAGTCAGGATCAGTTCTGTATTATTGACTGTCAGGTTTGACAGAAGATACTGCCAGCTGTTTTATCATTACATCAGTCAGGATCAGTTCTGTATTATTGACCCTGTTACTGTCAGGTTTGACAGAAGATACTGCCAGCTTTATCATTACATCAGTCAGGATCAGTTCTGTATTATTGACCCTGTTACTGTCAGGTTTGACAGAAGATACTGCCAGCTTTATCATTACATCAGTCAGGATCAGTTCTGTATTATTGACCCTGTTACTGTCAGGTTTGACAGAAGATACTGCCAGTTTTATCATTACATCAGTCAGGATCAGTTCTGTATTATTGACCGTTACTGTCAGGTTTGACAGAAGATACTGCCAGTTTTATCATTACATCAGTCAGGATCAGTTCTGTATTATTGACCGTTACTGTCAGGTTTGACAGAAGATACTGCCAGTTTTATCATTACATCAGTCAGGATCAGTTCTGTATTATTGACCGTTACTGTCAGGTTTGACAGAAGATACTGCCAGCTGTTTTATTATTACATCAGTCAGGATCAGTTCTGTATTCTCTCATTTCCACCTGTGTCAGATAGGCCTGTCCAGGGTAATAAACATGGTCATGATAGACGTTTATTACACAGGCGCCTGTGTAATAAAGCCTCGCGCCAGAGTAATTCATAGTTTTTTCCCGCGCACTCATCGACTATGTCATCGTCAACCGCTTCATCCACAAACACGCATAGTCGATTGGAGTCATTGTTTGCAGGCTCGTATTAACAAAACTGTTCTATAAATATCAACATTACCAACCCTGAGACTCAGCCTTTCCGCCGTCGTCCACGTGTGATTGAAAGTGACAGTGACTAACTTTCCTCCTGTCGGTGTGGCGCGAAATGTGTGACGTAAGTGACGTCATCTCACAAGCAAACCAAGAATTCCATTCATAAATGTGTAAGATTTGTAAGATTACTATTGACAGTGAAGTAGTATTAATAACTTGACCAACATGTTCAAAGATGTAAAAAGTGTTTATGATATATTATACATTGAGCAATAGTAAATATTAAAAAGAAAAGTGTTGTTTTATTGCATGTTTTAAGGCACTATATTTGAACGCGTACGCATGTCTCTGGGTGATATATTTGAAAGGGTAATTGACCCAGCCCGCTTGAAGAAAAAACAGTTAAACACTGACGTTGGATGTTTACATTCAAAGTCCATATTATGTTTTCGACCGCAAACATAGTTTGCAAAATTCGGGGATGGAGAATCTATTTTTTTTATGTATATGGCTCAAGGAAAAAAATAGAAATCTGAAAAATGGCGTCCAGTAATGGCTACCGCGAGGCGAGTGCAAATATTTGATAATATGAGATTAGAAATGGGAGAAAAAAACTCTTTTCTATATGGGTATGTAGGATAGGGATATTCCACCCTCGGGATCACAAAATATGGTAAAAACCCTTGGCAAGCCTCGGGTTTTACCACATTTTGTGACCCCTCTGGTGGAATATCACTATCCTACATACCCATATAGAAAAGAGTCTGATATTATTGACCCTGTTACTGTCAGGTTTGACAGCAGATACTGCCAGCTGTTTTGTCATTTCATCAGTCAGGATCAGTTCTGTATTATTGACCGTTACTGTCAGGTTTGACAGAAGATACTGTCAGTTGTTTTATCATTACACCAGTCAGGATCAGTTCTGTATTATTGACCCTGTTACTGTCAGGTTTGACAGGAAACACTGATATGTAAACCATTAAAATTAGATATCTTAGATTACCTGACAAATTATTTCAAAACAATAAATGAGATATTTTAGTCAGTTTTTTTGCTCAGAATGTCTTTTTCACTAATTACAAATATGATATCTTCTTTACTTAATGTAATCCTTAAAATGTTTTAATTTCCTTTATCTTAATTAATTTTCTTTTATTCCTAAAGTAGAATCTTATTTAGTAAATTAGATACATTAGTATACAGAAACACTTGTCTGTATGTCACATTTTATTGTAATTAAGAACTTCATCAACATCATATTTAGTTATTAATGTGTTTGAAATCATGAAGAAATGGTATTATTTGTATCTGTATGATATGGTTGTTTTGTATGAAAATTATAATGATATGGTGTTATTTTGTTTGAAAATCATGACATAATGGTTAATTGTATGGAAATGATGATGTGGTGTTATTTGTGAGGAAATGATGATGATGTGGTGTTATTTGTGTGGAAATGATGACAATGTATAAATGATTGTTCTCTGGGGCCTGAGGTGTGGGGCCCCATAGGGGGGTAATAGAGCAAATTATTCGTAATCCTACTCCTCCTGTAGGAATGATTGGATTTTGCCCAAATTTACTCCAAAGCATTCTTGGGTGATGTGGAACAAGGTTTGTAACCCAATAGGGAAATTATGTAAAAAATTGTTAGTCATATTTGAATTTTTTTTTTTAATTGCTGAATGGCTAAATTAGCCAGGTGAGCAATGTAGGCTCATTAGGACGCTTGTTTGTATAGAAATGATGATTTGTCACAAGTTGACTCCTGTATGATATAGTGTACATGTCGGATTGACCTCTTGTAGTACAGAGTTGTGATATGAGAGGTGGTAGTGATGTTGTTATAGGACACATCTTGGTGTAGACAATGATGTAATGCAAAAATGTTCTTGTTTGAAGCAATAAAAGAATTCAAATACTCATTCTACGACATGAATGTTAATTCGATGTTGTAGTAAGAACAACATTCGTAAATACATTTAGATCCTTTTTGAATATCATTTCATGCTTCAGTGACTTGAGATAGCATCAGGTTTACCACATAGCCACATTACTGTTTCAAAATTGATCCTGACTGTTCTTGGGGTGATGAACCCAGCAAACATATTTGTAATATCATGATCATTGTAATAATTAAAAGACCACAAAAAACTCTTGTTGTATGTAGATGTCTTAAAATTTTATTGGCCTAAAAAGCCAAATATATATCACAGTTACCAACACGGATGGAGGGAGGAATGCATTACATAAAGCTACCCACAGGTCACTTTCTCCCGTTGCACAACAGCAGCAAACTCCCCTGAACTTACAGTATTATAAGTACAAGCTATGATTTACATCCAAATTTTAAAGCTTTAACTTGAGAGTGCTTTTTGAAGCGCTAAAATTTGATTTAAATATTGGTTAATTTGATCTGTCAAGCAAGTTATAGTGATGGAGAATCGGGATGTTCAGATGAAAAACGCATTCTATTTAAATCATTTGTTCAAATATTCTTAAAAAGACCCTGATCTAAGGATGAATTGACAAGAAATATCTGTAAAACCTCATTGTCTAAACCTGTTATTTTAGACTGTTGAGATTTAATCACATTTCCCAACTGTTACAATGTCAGAGTCTCGCTTGCTATGTGGAATATTTGGACACTTGTGTATCACTTAAATGTTAGATCATATGGACCCCTAAAAGAAATGAAATTCAGTGAAATAAAATACCTGTTTAAATAAGATTAAAATATTCTCAAAGCATTGAAACCTTATAGACAACCAAACAAGTAGAGAGGTAATGATTGGCCAGTATAATGCTATCTTTCATCACTAATGGTGACTTAGATGTCACTGTAGAATTAAATGCCTTAACTGGTATTTCATAATGAGATTATACTAACATGGCAGGGTGGCACAAAAAGCTTTATGCTAGTTTGGAGAAACTGAAACAAAGTGTGTTACTCGATTGTAATGTACCAAATGCAAGTTACAGCCAGGAGGCGGCACATCAGCAGTTCAGGATAAAATTCACCAAAGGTCAAATTGCTGTTAATTAAAGTTTCTTAGTGAGGAACTTGTAGAAACATCCTGCAGGTGATACTGTATGGTAACAATAGTCATTCAAACTCTATTATAAACAATTTAGTTGGTACTACATATCACAATAAAGCTCTAGATCACCAGTGTAACCTTCACACCTGTCTGTAACTGTTCATAACTGATAGATTTGGAGTGAGCTGAAAATAAGAAGACCATTGCCCGTCTCAGCCATTTTTCCTACATATTTCTGTTTTAATATATAAGAGAAAGTTAAAATTCATTAAAGACTCCGAATTAAAATTGGGATCAGTAAAGTTATCCCATTTTCATCAGTAACACAGGTGTCGGGCTGTTTAACATTGATATCTAATGATCACAAATACATCAGAAATTATGACAACATTAGTTACCATTGCAACAATGATCAACAACCAAATTTAGGTGTTTACCTAGTCAGACTTCATAACAATATTAAATGTGTTTCTTTGGTAATGATAACAAATCATTTCATTGGTGTTACTATATACAACAAAGTTAAACATGATTTTACACACAAGCACTTTAAGTGCAGCAGCATGAACATGCTTATTATCACTGTATTGATAGGACCTGTCAACAAAACTCAGGACCTCTTGTTCAAAGTGGAGCTAAAACTTGAAGATGTCCCAGAAGATAATACGTTTAATAATCACATTTGTTTGTAGGAAACATTCATGTCCATGATAATTTTTTTCTGTTTTGAGTTAAAATGTATGAGCATTTCTACAGACACCACATCCCAGGGCAAACTCCTCCCCTGTGGGTGGGTGCTGTACATGGAGTGGGCATTCCTCTCCTTCAAGCTGTTTTCCTCGAGGACCTGCAAGTAAAACCGTAAAAAGTTGAAACTGAAATTTTTTAAAAATCGGCTCTCAAAAGGGTAACCAGTCTAACAGTCTCTGAAACAAGCTATTACCACAGATGTTTACTGCAGGGTTGTTTAGGTTCACAGGGATTAAATTCTACACATTACCACAGATGTTTACTGTAGAGTTAAGTTCACAGGGATTAAATTCTACACATTACCACAGATGTTTACTGTAGAGTTGTTTAGGTTCACAAGGATTAAATTCTACACATCACCACAGATATTTACTGTAGAGTAGTTTAAGTTCACAGGGGTTAAATTCTACACATTACCACAGATATTTACTGTAGAGTTGTTTAAGTTCACAGGGATTAAATTCTACACATTACCACAGATATTTACTGTAGAGTTGTTTAAGTTCACAGGGGTTAAATTCTACACATTACCACAGATGTTTACTGTAGAGTTAAGTTCATAGGGATTAAATTCATATTACCACAGATGTTTACTGTAGAGTTGTGTAAGTTCACAGGGGTTAAATTCTACACATTACCACAGATATTTACTGTAGAGTTGTTTAGGTTCACAGGGATTAAATTCTACACATTACCACAGATGTTTACTGTAGAGGTGTTTCAGTTCACAGGGATTAAATTCTACACATTACCACAGATATTTACTGTAGAGTTGTGTAAGTTCACAGGGGTTAAATTCTACACATTACCACAGATGTTTACTGTAGAGTTGTTTAAGTTTACAGGGATTAAATTCTACACATTACCACAGATGTTTACTGTAGAGTTAAGTTCACAGGGATTAAATTCTACACATTACCACAGATGTTTACTGCAGGGTTGTTTAGGTTCACAAGGATTAAATTCTACACATTACCACAGATGTTTACTGCAGGGTTGTTTAGGTTCACAGGGATTAAATTCTACATTACCACAGATGTTTACTGTAGAGTTAAGTTCATAGGGATTAAATTCATATTACCACAGATGTTTACTGTAGAGTTGTTTAAGTTCACAGGGGTTAAATTCTACACATTACCACAGATATTTACTGTAGAGTTGTTTAGGTTCACAGGGATTAAATTCTACACATTACCACAGATGTTTACTGTAGAGGTGTTTAAGTTCAGTTCACATTACCACAGGACTGTAGAGTTAAGTTCACAGGGATTAAATTCTACACATTACCACAGATGTTTACTGTAGAGTTAAGTTCACAGGGATTAAATTCTACACATTACCACAGATGTTTACTGTAGAGTTGTTTAAGTTTACAGGGATTAAATTCTACACATTACCACAGATGTTTACTGTAGAGTTAAGTTCATAGGGATTAAATTCATATTACCACAGATGTTTACTGTAGAGTTGTGTAAGTTCACAGGGGTTAAATTCTACACATTACCACAGATATTTACTGTAGAGTTGTTTAAGTTCACGGGGATTAAATTCTACACATTACCACAGATATTTACTGTAGAGTTGTTTAAGTTCACAGGGGTTAAATTCTACACATTACCACAGATATTTACTGTAGAGTTGTTTAAGTTCACAGGGGTTAAATTCTACACATTACCACAGATGTTTACTGTAGAGTTGTGTAAGTTCACAGGGGTTAAATTCTACACATTACCACAGATATTTACTGTAGAGTTGTTTAAGTTCACAGGGATTAAATTCTACACATTACCACAGATATTTACTGTAGAGTTGTTTAAGTTCACAGGGATTAAATTCTACACATTACCACAGATATTTACTGTAGAGTTGTGTAAGTTCACAGGGGTTAAATTCTACACATTACCACAGATATTTACTGTAGAGTTGTGTAAGTTCACAGGGGTTAAATTCTACACATCACCACAGATATTTACTGTAGAGATGTTTAAGTTCACAGGGATTAAATTCTACACATTAAGCTGTTGGTGAACTGTTTATTACACAGACTGAAAGGGGCATGTTCTGTAAGAAACAATGAAAGTTGATGGTAAACTGTTACTTATTACACAAAGTGACAGGGGCATGTTCTGTAAGAAACAATGAAAGTTGATGGTGAACTGTTACTTATTACACAAAGTGACAGGGGCATGTTCTGTAAGAAACAATGAAAGTTGATGGTAAACTGTTACTTATTACACAAAGTGACAGGGGCATGTTCTGTCAGAAACAATGAAAGTTGATGGTGAACTGTTTTTTATTACACAGACTGACAGGAGCATGTCCTGTTAGAAACAATGAAAGTTGATGGTGAACTGTTTTTTATTACACAGACTGACAGGGGCATGTTCTGTTAGAAACAATGAAAGTTGATGGTGAACTGTTTTTTATTACACAGACTGACAGGAGCATGTCCTGTTAGAAACAAAGAGAGATGTTAAAACTCACCAGCTGGACAGTGAGGAAGTTCTGTCTTGGGAAGATTAGTGACTCGTTGGAAATCATCGTGACAAATATTACAGAAGTGAGTTGTCCCGAAGCAGAAGAAGACGGCGACAGAGCAGCAGTAACGACATTTATATTCCAGGAAGTCTGTTCCATGTTTAGGACACATCTGATTATAAAAACAACATAACTGTATGTGCATCTGCAATCTTGAAACATATTTAAAGTGATGAAAGTTTAAAAAAAAAAGGAATTATAGAGTAGCGAAAAGACACAATTCAAGGCTGTTATCATTTGAAGAAATAGAATGAGGCTATGAAAATCTATGAGTGTTTTTCTGAAACACACAGGTCATACACTATCAAATAGTTCTACTAGAAAGTCACTTGTTACTGATGTACATCAGAATGGCTGTGAAATACATTACATTGGGCTGAGCATGCATTACCTAATATCAATACATCCTGGCTGGTATATTAAAACATTAAATTTTCTGTTTCTATGAATCCACATGATAATTACACTAAATGTTAATTGCTTTTCCTTACCTGGGCCCGGGACACATCAGAGCAACCCCCACACACCAGTTCCTGAGGGTCATAGTCCTCAGCAACACCTGCCTGTTCATCACACCGTGCCTCTCCCCCATAGTAGGCCTGCAGGATTACATTAACAAATATTAATACAATGCAGACGCATTGCAGACTTTTTCAGCTGCTTCTTTAATAAAGAGTAAATTGTTCATATAAAAAAACTTGGCACATTCAGCTTATTGTATAAACAACGAAAAGCTGCTAATTAATAACTATGCTCTTAACTGTAAACTATTGTTAGAAACTAATGCTTAATGCAGCTTGTCTTTAAATACACTAGGAAATAACTTGTCACCACCATGATCCTAAACCTAATGTATAATTTGCCACTTGTAGCAGATATATTCCTTAAAACTAGGCTAGTATCCTAAAGAGTACCTTATTACACTTGTAACAGACGTAGTAAGCATATCTTTCCATCGCAAATCCTGCTGGATCCTGGTAGAAGCGGGCTCCAGGGGTCGTAATAGCCTCTGCCTTATGTAGCCCCTCATACTCGAGTCTCATCATGGCTTTTCTCTTTACATCGCTGTACAGATCTCGTATAGGCTTCAAAAGGTCCCGCAAGATTGGCTGTTCTATTGTACTCTATAAATATAGACAAATATTTATATAGTACTTTTGTTAAAAACGCTTGTCACAGGGTCAGCAGGAAGATGAGCTTATTACTGAACACCAACACATAACCACCAACTCAAAGTAGGCAGGTGGGCTTATTACTGAACACCATATCATAACCACCAACTCAAAGTAGGCAGGTGGGCTTATTACAGGACTCCAATACATAACCACAAACTCAAAGTAGGCAGCTGGGCTTATAACTGAACACCAACACATAACCACCAACTCAAAGTAGGCAGGTGGGCTTATTACAGGACACCAATACATAACCACCAACAAATAAGGTTTAAATGATGAAATTTTATATTTACCAAATATTCTCCCAGTTCATTACCTTGCAAATTGGACAAAGTGAGAAGCCGAAAGTGATTCGTGGTCCGACCCAGCGCTTCTCCAGGATGTTCTTGGTACAGTGCAGATGGAACAGGTGGTTACACTTTAACTGTAGACATACATATATATATATATATATACATATTATACATATTCTAGACATCACAGGGTTCAATTGATATACAGGCTGCAGTGGTTGTAGTGTATCTCTACTCATATATAATACATGTATATGTTTATAAGAAAATACATTGGTTAGATAAAATATTTCAGTGTAATAATTTACTGGCCAACAACCAAATCTGTGTTCACTTTGTGTTTGTTTCCACTTTTCTTAAATCATGGTAAAATCCATCTTCACATCGATTTGATTCTTAAATATGACTTGTATTACAGATCAAACAGATGATGGTGAATTCACTTTCAACAGATTTAGGAGGATATGAATCACTGGTAAGCTATCTTTGATACCTTGATTGCTGGCGCTGCAGCAAGAGCCTCTGTGAAGCAGATCATACACATGTCATCAGCATCCTGTTTGAGTGACTCTTGGTTGTCAGAGCGACAGCGATGGAGACAAGGCAGACAGGGATCCTCATTCTTAATGCCTCCACAGGCATGCCCACAGGGCAGGACTTTGGTACAGGCATTCTGGGCATGTTCCTGTCATAGTATTTAATAAGTCCAGTGAATTCACTGCACATTTTTATGTTATATATAGTTGTCATCAAAAACACTTCAAATAAATGCATTGAAGCAATTTCTATTATTTAATATGAACCATCACAGGTCTATCACTTATCATTTTGAGAGTGCATTTATAACCCCCAATAACCCCCTCAATCTACCCTCATAAAAATTCAATGGATTACCTGACACTCGGCATCAGCACAAACATTACCAATGGCTAGTAACCCAGTATTGTTACTGGTACCACAAAACCGACATGTTCCTGGACCTGCACCCCCCGACGAGGTACGACCTACAACAGACATCATCAATAGAAACATCATCCCAATCAGGATCATATAAACTCTCTACTTGATGCCAGATTTGGATGGTCTGTGGGAGATATCCAAGTAAAGAGTTTCATAGGACAGACTATCTCCATTATATATAACACTAAGGTAGACCACTGCACTTACAAGTCAGTGTAACAGGACACTCTACTCTCTTACCAGTCAGAGTAACAGGACAGTCTACACTCTCCATTATATATAACACTAAGGTAGACCACTGTACTTACCAGTAAGTTAACAGGACAGTCTACACCCTTACCAGTCAGTGTAACAGGACAGTCTACACTCTTACCAGTCAGTGTAACAGGACAGTCTACACTCTTACCAGTCAGTGTAACAGGACAGTCTACACTCTTACCAGTCAGTGTAACAGGACAGTCTACACTTTTACCAGTCAGTGTAACAGGAGAGTCTACACTCTTACCAGTCAGTGTAACAGGACAGTCTACACTCTCCGTTATATATAACACTAAGGTATACCACCGTACTTACCAGTCAGTGTAACAGGAGAGTCTACACTCTTACCAGTCAGTGTAACAGGACAGTCTACACTCTCAGTTATATATAACACTAAGGGAGACCACTGAACTTACCATTCAGGGTAATAGGACAGTCTACATTCTCCATTATATATAACACTAAGGTAGACCACTGTACTTACCAGTCAGTGTAACAGGACAGTCTAAATCCTTAACAGTCAGTGTAACAGGAGAGTCTACACTCTTACCAGTCAGTGTAACAGGACAGTGTACACTCTTACTAGTCAGTGTAACAGGACAGTCTACACTCTTACTAGTCAGTGTAACAGGACAGTGTACACTCTCCGTTATATATAATACCAAGGTAGACCACTGTACTTACAAGTCAGTGTAACAGGACATTCTACTCTCTTACCAGTCAGAGTAACAGGACAGTCTACACTCTCCATTATATATAACAATAAGGTAGACCACTGTACTTACCAGTAAGTTAACAGGACAGTCTACACCCTTACCAGTCAGTGTAACAGGACAGTCTACACTCTTACCAGTCAGCGTAACAGGACAGTCTACACTCTTACCAGTCAGTGTAACAGGACAGTCTACACTCTTACCAGTCAGTGTAACAGGACAGTCTACAGTCCTACCAGTCAGTGTAACAGGACAGTCTACACTTTTACCACTCAGTGTAACAGGAGAGTCTACACTCTTACCAGTCAGTGTAACAGGACAGTCTACACTCTCCTTTATATATAACACTAAGGTAGACCACTGTACTTACCAGTCAGTGTAACAGGACAGTCTACACTCTCCATTATATATAACACTAGGGTAGACGACTGTACTTACCAGTAAGTGTAACAGGACAGTCTACACCCTTACAAGTCAGTGTAAAAGGACAGTCTACACTCTAACCAGTCAGTGTAACAGGACAGTCTACACTCTTACCAGTCAGTGTAACAGGACAGTCTACAGTCCTACCAGTCAGTGTAACAGGACAGTCTACACTCTCCGTAATATATAATACCAAGGTAGACCACTGTACTTACAAGTCAGTGTAACAGGACACTCTTCTCTCTTACCAGTCAGTGTAACAGGGCAGTCTACACTCTCCATTATATATAACACTAAGGTAGACCACTGTACTTACCAGTCAGTGTAACAGGACAGTCTACACCCTTACCAGTCAGTGTAACAGGACAGTCTACACTCTTACCAGTCAGTGTAACAGGACAGTCTACACTCTTACCAGTCAGTGTAAGAGGACAGTCTACAGTCCTACCAGTCAGTGTAACAGGACAGTCTACACTCTTACCAGTCAGTGTAACAAGACAGTCTACAATCTCCGTTATACAAAATACCAAGGTAGACCACTGTACTTACAAGTCAGTGTAACAGGACACTCTACTCTCTCACCAGTCAGTGTAATAGGACAGTCTACACTCTCCGTTATATATAACACCTTTTTCCAGTATTACTTTCAGGGTAAAATTGTTAGTTTTAACTCTGCAGGAATCTGCTTACCTTCCCTAAACTCCATGATGGCTTTCAGTGTCAACCAGGGATATGACCCAGAATCTACTTACCCTCCCTAAACTCTACCATGGCTTTCAGGGTCTTGGAGTCAGCCAAAGACATAACCCAGAAAAGCTTTGTTCGACCACATCCCTCATGAAGGTCAACCTTGATGGCCTCCTCCTCTTCCTTAAACACCTGACAGGAAGAAATCATAGAGGTGTGATATACAGGTGTAGCAGTGTACTACTTGTTTGTAAATCCATTGTTTATTCATAATGCTGTCTCATAGTGATGAAATTTTAGTACTAACACAAAGTCTACACTATTAATGAAAGTTGATCCAGTTCTGGCCCCTTAAAATCACAGTTGAAACTGTTACATAGAAATAATTAAATCATTCTTGTCTTGCGCGTGAACAGATGCATGCAGTTTACAACGATGTGCCTCTGACTATTACAACTGACTGATGGTTTAAGCATTAAATAGAATCAATCTTGATACTGAACATATACATAACAAGATGCCCCAAAGGCCTGTATTGCTCACCTGGTGTTCAATGTTCATCTCAAATACTTTTCACATTGCTATTTCAAACTAACTTAAAAAAAAGCTTCATCTTATGATCGTATGGGCAAAATATCATGCTTCTGGACTTTTTGGCAGAAAATCAAATATAATCATTTAAAGGTTTTAACAAAAATGACCCCTGTGACCTTACATACAGGTCAAGGTCAGCCTTTATTTCCATAATATATCCGACAAAAATATTGCTTGTGGGCCTTTTGGCACATAGGCATACGTTTCAAGGTTGAAAAAAATCTGACTTCTGTGTCCTTGAATAGGGTAAAGGTAATTTCTTTTTGCAAATTTTGTTCGGCTTCTACCTCCTAAATACCATGCTTCTGTACCTTTTGGTTAATCATGAGAAGTTGCATTAAGTTTCTTTTGGTTAATCAGAAGTCATTTTAAAATGTTAACAACTCTGACCTTTGTGACTTTCAATATATGTCAAGGTCATTCAAATCATCATCTTTGTCAGACTTTATCCTAGCAACCCACCAGCCAAATACCATGACATTTGGTCTGTTGGTTACCGAGATGACATGGTTTAAATGGAAAAGCTGAAGTTAGACGGACTCTTGACGGACGACGGACAACAGATTCCACAACATTGCAAAAGCTCACATGGCCCTTTAGCCAGGTGAGTTGATAATGAATAAAAACAAGTTTACACCATCATGGTTGCCCAGGGTAATTCTATGTAGAATAAAACCATAGGTAAAATTCTAAACAAAATATATTCATTTTACAGGGAAGCTAGCTTGGACAACATACACTACATGACACAGGGTAAAAAGTCTATCTGACTATGGTCATACCTGATCTTTCCAAACTCTAATGACAAGCAGTGCTGTGACTTTATGTTTATATATTAATAATGACCTTTAGGGTTCACACACTCAAGCTGTCATACACCATCTTGATACACCAATAGGGTTTACAAACTCAAGCTGTCATACACCATCCTGATAGACCTACAGGGTTCACACACTCAAGCTGTCATACACCATCCTGATAGAACTACAGGGTTCACACACTCAAGCTGTCATACACCATCCTGATAGACCTACAGGGTTCACACACTCAAGCTGTCATACACCATCCTGATAGAACTACAGGGTTCACACACTCAAGCTGTCATACACCATCCTGATAGACCTACAGGGTTCACACACTCAAGCTGTCATACACCATCCTGATAGACCTACAGGGTTCACACACTCAAGCTGTCATACACCATCCTGATAGACCTACAGGGTTCACACACTCAAGCTGTCATCCACCATCCTGATAGAACTACAGGGTTCACACACTCAAGCTGTCATACACCATCTTGATAGAACTACAGGGTTCACACACTCAAGCTGTCATACACCATCTTGATACACCAATAGGGTTTACAAACTCAAGCTGTCATACACCATCCTGATAGACCTACAGGGTTCACACACTCAAGCTGTCATACACCATCCTGATAGAACTACAGGGTTCACACACTCAAGCTGTCATACACCATCCTGATAGACCTACAGGGTTCACACACTCAAGCTGTCATACACCATCCTGATAGACCTACAGGGTTCACACACTCAAGCTGTCATACACCATCCTGATAGACCTACAGGGTTCACACACTCAAGCTGTCATCCACCATCCTGATAGAACTACAGGGTTCACACACTCAAGCTGTCATACACCATCTTGATAGAACTACAGGGTTCACACACTCAAGCTGTCATACACCATCTTGATAGAACAAGGTTCACACATTCAAGCTCCCTAGTGAATAACATAATTACCTGTAAAACATCTCCCTAGTAAATAACATAATTACCTGTAACACATCTCCCTAGTAAATAACATAATTATCTGTAACACATCTCCCTAGTGAATAACAAAATTACCTGTAACACATCTCCCTAGTAAATAACATAATTATCTGTAACACATCTCCCTAGTAAATAACATAATTATCTGTAACACATCTCCCTAGTAAATAACATAATTACCTGTAACACATCTCCCTAGTAAATAACATAATTACCTGTAACACATCTCCCTAGTAAATAACATAATTATCTGTAACACATCTCCCTAGTAAATAACATAATTACCTGTAAAACATCTCCCTAGTAAATAACATAATTACCTGTAACACATCTCCCTAGTAAATAACATAATTATCTGTAACACATCTCCCTAGTAAATAACAGAATCATCTGTAACACATCTTCCTAGTAAATAACATAATTATCTGTAACACATCTCCCTAGTAAATAACATAATTATCTGTAACACATCTCCCTAGTAAATAACATAATTACCTGTAAAACATCTCCCTAGTAAATAACATAATTACCTGTAACACATCTCCCTAGTAAATAACATAATTATCTGTAACACATCTCCCTAGTAAATAACAGAATCATCTGTAACACATCTTCCTAGTAAATAACATAGTTACCTGTAACACATCTCCCTAGTAAATAACATAATTATCTGTAACACATCTCCCTAGTAAATAACATAATTATCTGTAACACATCTCCCTAGTAAATAACATAATTACCTGTAAAACATCTCCCTAGTAAATAACATAATTACCTGTAAAACATCTCCCTAGTAAATAACATAATTATCTGTAACACATCTCCCTAGTAAATAACATAATTATCTGTAACACATCTCCCTAGTAAATAACAGAATCACCTGTAACACATCTCCCTAGTAAATAACATAATTACCTGTAAAACATCTCCCTAGTAAATAACATAATTACCTGTAAAACATCTCCCTAGTAAATAACATAATTATCTGTAACACATCTCCCTAGTAAATAACATAATTATCTGTAACACATCTCCCTAGTAAATAACATAATTACCTGTAAAACATCTCCCTAGTAAATAACATAATTATCTGTAACACATCTCCCTAGTAAATAACAAAATTACCTGTAACACATCTCCCTAGTGAATAACAAAATTACCTGTAACACATCTCCCTAGTGAATAACAAAATTACCTGTAACACATCTCCCTAGTAAATAACATAATTATCTGTAACACATCTCCCTAGTAAATAACATAATTACCTGTAAAACATCTCCCTAGTAAATAACATAATTACCTGTAAAACATCTCCCTAGTAAATAACATAATTACCTGTAACACATCTCCCTAGTAAATAACAGAATCATCTGTAACACATCTCCCTAGTGAATAACAAAATTACCTGTAACACATCTCCCTAGTAAATAACATAATTATCTGTAACACATCTCCCTAGTAAATAACAGAATCATCTGTAACACATCTCCCTAGTGAATAACATAATTACCTGTAACACATCTCCCTAGTAAATAACATAATTACCTGTAACACATCTCCCTAGTGAATAACAAAATTACCTGTAACACATCTCCCTAGTAAATAAAAGAATTACCTGTAACACATCTCCCCAGTGAATAACAAAATTACCTGTAACACATCTCCCTAGTAAATAAAAGAATTACCTGTAACACATCTCCCTAGTGAATAACAATTATCTGTAACACATCTCCCCAGTGAATAACAAAATTACCTGTAACACATCTCCCTAGTAAATAAAAGAATTACCTGTAACACATCTCCCTAGTGAATAACAATTATCTGTAACACATCTCCCCAGTGAATAACAAAATTACCTGTAACACATCTCCCTTGTAAATAACAGAATTACCTGTAACACATCTCCCTTGTAAATAGTAAATTTTCTGGTGAAATTTAGATCTACATACATCATTTACTATAATATCAGGGTGATTACATATTTACCTATGTTATAGGTGCAGGTATATCCATGAGACATAAAGACTGAATATTTATAAAAGCTATCAGTATTGAGAATCAGACAAATTTGATTTTGCCCTGTTTATTCTGTCTTGGGAAAGCGTAACTCTGTTAGAAGGTTAAAAAGGTTAATAGTTAACAAGGGGAGTTTGAGGATAGGTCACTTTACTCAGGTACAAGGTGATTACAGACCTGGTGGTCTGACCAAGAAGACATGGACTCTGAATTGGTCCAGGTCTGCAACAAGACAATGTATGTCCAGGTGTACAACTTTCCTCATATTAATTACATATCTATATTAAGATCTATAGGTCTGTGCTCTGTTTTATATCAAATTTGAAGATGTATGAAAATATATGGAAATAAGCCTATACACTTACACAAAATATCACACCCAAAATCTTTCTATGAACTGAATTCCTTGAACCTTTTTCCTTGTTGATTTACTATTGTGTAAAACCCATAAATGTGACTTAATTCATTTTTCATCAAATTGTTCTGACATTTATATTTACCAATAGATGATACAGAAAAAACCAGACTACTTACCTGGCGTTGGTGTGTACGTTTTTTGCGTGGTAGATGTAAGAAGCGGTCACACTCTGCACACAGGTTGCCACATTCATTACACAGAATGATGGCCTGGGTCTCACCATCGTCATGGTTATCACAGGTAGGCTAACAAACAACAAGTCTTCATTAATACGTTTTGTTACCTTTCTGAACAGGTTTTAAAAGCATTTCAACATGGATATATTTTCACTCCATATTGCTATTGATGGTGTCACAATACAAAAGAATGTTGATATCTAATAATTCTCAGCAGTAACTGACATCATGGATTTCATACAAAACCAAACAAACAGTAATTAACATCATGGATTTCATACAAAAACCAAACAAACAGTGATTAACATCAGGGATTTCATACAAAAACAAACAGTGATTAACATCAGGGATTTCATACAAAAACCAAACAAACAGTGATTAACATCAGGGATTTCATACAAAAACAAACAATGATTAACATCAGGGATTTCATACAAAAACCAAACAAACAGTGATTAACATCAGGGATTTCATACAAAAACAAACAATGATTAACATCAGGGATTTCATACAAAAACCAAACAAACAGTGATTAACATCAGGGATTTCATACAAAAACCAAACAGTGATTAACATCAGGGATTTCATACAAAAACCAAACAAACAGTGATTAACATCAGGGATTTCATACAAAAACAAACAATGATTAACATCAGGGATTTCATACAAAAACCAAACAAACAGTGATTAACATCAGGGATTTCATACAAAAACCAAACAGTGATTAACATCAGGGATTTCATACAAAAACCAAACAAACAGTGATTAACATCAGGGATTTCATACAAAAACAAACAATGATTAACATCAGGGATTTCATACAAAAACCAAACAAACAGTGATTAACATCATGAATTTCATACAAAAACCAAACAGTGATTAACATCAGGGATTTCATACAAAAACCAAACAAACAGTAATTAACATCAGGGATTTCATACAAAAAACAAACAAACAGTAATTAACATCAGGGATTTCATACAAAAACCAAACAAACAGTGATTAACATCAGGGATTTCATACAAAAACCAAACAGTGATTAACATCATGAATTTCATACAAAAACCAAACAAACAGTAATTAACATCAGGGATTTCATACAAAAACCAAACAAACAGTAATTAACATCAGGGATTTCATACAAAAAACAAACAAACAGTAATTAACATCAGGGATTTCATACAAAAACCAAACAGTGATTAACATCATGAATTTCATACAAAAAACAATCAAACAGTAATCAACATCATGGATTTCATACAAAACCAAACAAACAGTAATTAACATCTTGAATTTCATACAAAACCAAACAATTATTAACATCATGGATTTCATACAAAAACCAAACAATGATTAACATCATGGATTTCATACAAAAACCAAACAAACAGTGATTAACATCATGGATTTCATACAAAACCAAACAAACAGTAATCAACATCATGGATTTCATACAAAACCAAACAAACAGTAATTAACATCTTGAATTTCATACAAAACCAAACAATTATTAATATCATGGATTTCATACAAAAACCAAACAATGATTAACATCATGGATTTCATACAAAAACCAAACAAACAGTGATTAACATCATGGATTTCATACAAAACCAAACAAACAGTAATTAACATCATGGATTTCATACAAAAACCAAACAAACAGTAATTAACATCATGGATTTCATACAAAAACCAAACAAACAGTGATTAACATCAGGGATTTCATACAAAAACAAACAGTGATTAACATCAGGGATTTCATACAAAAACCAAACAAACAGTGATTAACATCAGGTATTTCATACAAAAACCAAACAGTGATTAACATCATGAATTTCATACAAAAACCAAACAAACAGTAATTAACATCAGGGATTTCATACAAAAAACAAACAAACAGTAATTAACATCAGGGATTTCATACAAAACCAAACAGTGATTAACATCATGAATTTCATACAAAAACCAAACAAACAGTAATTAACATCAGGGATTTCATACAAAAAACAAACAAACAGTAATTAACATCAGGGATTTCATACAAAACCAAACAGTGATTAACATCATGAATTTCATACAAAAAACAATCAAACAGTAATCAACATCATGGATTTCATACAAAACCAAACAAACAGTAATTAACATCTTGAATTTCATACAAAACCAAACAATTATTAACATCATGGATTTCATACAAAAACCAAACAATGATTAACATCATGGATTTCATACAAAAACCAAACAAACAGTGATTAACATCATGGATTTCATACAAAACCAAACAAACAGTAATCAACATCATGGATTTCATACAAAAACCAAACAGTGATTAACATCATGGTTTCATACAAAAACAAACAGTAATCAACATCATGGATTTCATACAAAAACAAACAGTAATCAACATCATGGATTTCATACAAAAAACAAACAATGATTAACATCAGGGATTTCATACAAAACCAAACAAACAGTGATTAACATCATGGATTTCATACAAAAACAAACAGTAATCAACATCATGGATTTCATACAAAAACAAACAGTAATTAACATCAGGGATTTCATACAAAAAACAATGATTAACATCAGGGATTTCATACAAAACCAAACAAACAGTGATTAACATCATGGATTTCATACAAAAACCAAACAATGATTAACATCATGGATTTCATACAAAACCAAACAAACAGTAATCAACATCATGGATTTCATACAAAAAACAAACAATGATTAACATCAGGGATTTCATACAAAACCAAACAAACAGTGATTAACATCATGGATTTCATACAAAAACAAACAGTAATCAACATCATGGATTTCATACAAAAACAAACAGTAATCAACATCATGGATTTCATACAAAAAACAAACAATGATTAACATCAGGGATTTCATACAAAACCAAACAATGATTAACATCATGGATTTCATACAAAAACCAAACAAACCATAATTAGCATCAGGGATTTCATACAAAAACCAAACATACAACATTATGAATTTCATACAAAACCTATGAGTATAACAGATCATGTTGGGGCAGAAATGCTTAAAACAATTATTATTATCATTATATTTTTAACGACCTGTCAACACATAAAAGGTCATTAGAGTCATCAAAAGGTTGCTTAAAACAAAAGTTTGTTAAACTGGGAAAACTTTAATTGGATGGACAAATCTTATCACACATGTATAACACTGTCCTTAATACTATTAAACAAAACATACAGATTATAACAGTATTGTGACATTTCAGTAAATGTCGTTACAGATAGACTGGATGATGAAATAGTAATATTTGAGACCAAATTCTGGTCTTAAACAAAGGGCCTGTTTCCAGTAATGTTAATTCTCCATAGGAGCCTGCCCCCGTATAATTTCTTATCTAGCTCAACTATTGTTTTTTTCTTTTCCGAAAAATAATTTTACACCTTTCCGACACCCAGATTTCATAATTTCAGTGAAAATGTATTTTTATAAAGTTGTCAATTTCAGCATCAAAGACATAAGTTCGTAAATAAAAGAATGTTATCTCGAAATTGTAATTCGCAACATAGTATAAATTTCTTTTGATAAATATTTCCAAAACATCGTGTTTATTCATAAAACATAAAAAAAAAATATTCTCGGATGAAAATGCACTTGCAGAGACACAATTATGAAGAAAAATGCCATAAATTTGCAATTTTCTCCCGTTATATAGTTTTGGATGCAAATTTCCATCAGAAAATCGGATAGAGCTTTACTTGTTTCATATGTGTACCAAAAATCAGCTAATTCCATGTGGTGGAACGTTCTCATATCGACGCCTGAATGTGGTTGTAAATTGAAAGAAAAGGGGAAATGAGTAACAACCTTGTCAGAAACCCTATTATATAGCTTAATATATACAAACTTTCATATTGAATATCAGAGCGGATATTTTCATGACAGTTTTATGATGTGTAACGACTAAATAAATAGTATCGATATACAGATTTACACTGAGGACACCCTGATACATGAATACTGTTCTATCTCAAGCTGTCCTCTTCTGAATTTTCTGATCGTGTAGCCTTGTACATTTATCCGTATCTTCTTGCCTTTGTCTATACGTTTACGAAATCATTCACTCGACGCTAGCTATTCTTGTCTCAATTTCCTTGTTTTATTGTCCCATTTCCAAAGCGTTGTGGCTCTGTCAGGGTTGGGACCCTGACTTGTCTCACTTTCTTTGTGCCTGCCGACCACGCCACATCGAATATATAGATTATCCATATGAAATACTTTATTTTGTTCTAATTAATCAATCAATTCTGCGCTTCTTGGAGGTATTGAATGTGATTTATCATATTGTCTTGTTATTTTGTGTAATTAGTTGTTCGTTATTTATCACACATTTTCGCATAATTGTACCAAACTACTAAGCATTAGCTGTTTACAGCAATCATCGGTGGCTTGCTATTTTGTTACTTTATTGACGCTTCATAAACCAATCGTTATTGTTTCAAGATGGAGGGTAAATGTGTTGGAGAAGAGTGTCAAGTATACTTCAAGAAACGTAGTGGCAATAAGAACAGAAGTGCACACAATGTAAATAGTCCACAATATAAATGGCTCCTAGATACGCTGGTGCAACAAGGATTGATGTCAGCAAAGGAACAAGCATTTATTTGCCAGAAGTGCTACATGAAGTATCTTCGGAACAAAAATCAGCCTGAACCTGAACCCGAGCATAACCAGGAAATAGAGGAAGAAGACGACTCCCCGTCCCATATCCTGCCGTTGCTGACACTTCATGATCTTTTGGTTGGATCATCTTCACACAAAAAATGCTGTCTCTGTCTTGTTACCTTTCCAAAAAATGGAACAAAATCATCAGTCTTACCAAAACGTGCAAGACATCACCTGATCTATTCACACAAACTGTGGTGTGCCACCTCATCCTGCGTCTGCTCCATTCACCTTATTGGTAACGACTTAGATCCGTCTACAGAGGTTTTCCTTGATGGTAGAGGTTCCTTGGAATCTCAGTTACCATCAAAATCGTCCGAAATCATTAATGACCTCCTAAAGGTGTCGCACGTCCTTTCACAGAACCAGTCTGCATTTACAATAAGCTTTTCTTCTCTTGATGACTCGGCATGTATGGCCTGGACAGGTTGGTCCAAAGATCAGTTCCTCGAAATCCACTCGCACTGTTCCCCATATCTTTCATCTGGTATATATACCAAGACTACACACAATGCTCTATTACTGTTCTGGGTAAAACTGAAAACGACACTTCCTAGAGGCAGTGTTCTTCTCTTTTTGGAATTTCTAAGTCAAGTGTGTCCAAAACTTTCCACTCCATAGTACAGGCATTAGACACATCGATAGTCCCACAATTTCTAGGTCCGGATCACTTGACAAGAGAACAATTGCTCGGGCACAATACTGTCTTTTCAGAAGCATTTTTTGGAGATAAAGCCACTGCCATATTAGATGGCACCTATATTTATATCCAGAAAACTCCGACCACAAGCTCAAGAGAATGTCCTACTGTGGCCAGAAGAAGAGAAACTATGTCAAATTCATGAGCATCGCCTTACCAGATGGCTACATTCTGGACATCGTAGGACCATTCACTGGCAGCGAAAATGATGCTACAATTACAAAAAAAAGTCATGGACAAGCTAGTTACTTGGCTACAACCAGACGAAAACGTTGTCGTTGACCGAGGTTTTAGAGATGTCCTACCAGTTCTCGAAGCCTCTGGCCTCAATGCTAGCATGCCGTCATACCTGAAACCCGGTCAAAGTCAACATTCTGACGTCCAAGCAAATCTTGACAGAACTATCACCAAATCGAGGTGGATTGTGGAATCCTATCATGGTCGTCTGAAACACTGGACGTTCTTCCGAACGCAATTGGTGTCTAACAGCTTTATCAATGTCATTGAGGCTTTGCTTCGAACCGTCACAGCCTGTCTGAATGGTATTAGAGGACCGATCTACCAGAGATCTCCAGAGAGAGATGCCAAAGATAGGCTAATGGCTGAACGTATGAAGGACCGATTGACAACACCGAATGGTTTAGCTCAGAGAGTCAAGATAGATCTAGATCTATCTAGACAGGCAAGGTCCGAGTTTGTCAAGATGGATGCATCTTCCGTACTGTTTCCCCGTCTCGATCTTGATTACTTGAGAACCATTACGTGTGGAACGTATCAGATATCTCTGGCTCCTGGTTACATCGCCGAACATTTAAGTGATGACGGAGACTATGAGGTGTGGCTTTACCAGCACTCCCCAGACCTTCTCCGATGTCAAATACATTCTCGACACAAAAGCCAAACGAAATATAACGTTAGGATACGGTTCACCGTTTCACCCGATGTTGAGGCCCCAATAAAGGACTACTACTGCCAGTGCCCAGTTGGAGAGAGAACAATGGGAATGTGTGCGCACATCTCCAGTATCTTGTACTACCTTGGGTATTACAGGACGCTGGAAAACCCTCGACCATTACAACCACAGGTAAAGAAATTCCGACAAAACTTGAAGTAGTTTTCCATGCGGCAAGGGAGTGCATATGTCGAAAGTATGTTTGGGGCTCGATATGAAAGATCCCCGTTACCATGTGACTAACCAAACTTATAAATATAGGTATTATACAATCGCCCGTAGCTATGAACACTCCCGTAAATGCGAAAACCAACCAAAATCATAAGGAACACGTTTTGTTTGTTGTTCTGTCTATTTGTCAGCCAATGTCTTCAACCACGGGGACTTGTGAAGTAGCCATCTTGGATTTTTTTATGAAAAAGTGTTTCACTCACTTTTCTTCATATCTGTGTACATATTCTCAACATACCGAGCAAATACTCTCGTTTTTTTGTTAATTATCTAAAGAAAGTCGAAAATCGGCAATTCAACCATAGGCTAATTCAACTCAACATTTGAAAATGTTCCACCACTTACATTTTGATGATTTTTCCTCTCATCAATAGCATATTACGTACTATTTAATAGGATAAAAATTGGTTTGCATCCAACGCCCATAAAAGGGTGTATTTTTGAGATTGTTTCTTCCATAAAACAGCCAAATGGCGCGATGGAAACATGATTTTTTGTCACAATCATGCCATGAATGTATTCTTTACGGTGACTATCATTTGATTAGATTTTCATTCATATTTTACATAACATGCACATTTTATCAACACTTAGACAGCTTCTGAAAGGTCCAACTTTGAGGAGCCATAAAAAACAAACCAAGTGACCTAAATCTTTATACTTTATAGATTTGTGACCACAACGGCATGGGCAATGCACCACCAACAGGAAATTTGAATCAGAGAAGGGGCCGTTTTGGAAACCGGCCCTTTTCATGTTTTGAAATTTTTTTCTTAACTGCCCTCTCTCATGCTTCAATCTTCTAACTACTGGCCAATAAATTAGTCCCATTCAAAAACCATTCTCAACTAAAAGCAAATTTTTGAGTTTTTATCAAACTTATTGGCTAAATTACATGACACCATGGATATCTTTTATAGTGACTCTTGCCTAAAGACTTGTCGAGTACATTCTATTATATCTATTAAAAGATATTCTTAATACCATCTAAAATTGACCCTGCCATTCTGCCTCCAACAGAAATGCATCTCCATATTTATACCACACCTCTTGGCCCACATATGCTTCATACCAATTGCTGTTGAACAGCAATGGATGTCAAAATTTGACCAAAACATATCAGAAGAGATTAAAAAAAAGCATTAATATAAGTTAATCTTTATTTTATAACAATTGCAAACGAGTTTTCCCAGCATATATCAATCACTATTGTTCTCTGGTATGTAAGCATACAAGGGGTCTTATAAGAGGAAACTGCAGTATCCAGGGAAACCCACATGGTCAGGCAGATGACCCCATAACAGTGAAAGGTGAGTGCCTAACCACTGTCATCTGACCACCCAAGCAGTACATACACTGGGCTTTCTTTTCTTGAATTCTATATTGTAATGTAAAATCTTACCCTAGGTTGTCCATGTTGACCATTGGGACTGCTGACCCATTGACCCGAGGTCAATCTCTCCACATGGTCTTGGTCCAAAACACACAGAGATGCCAGGGCTAGCCAAAGCTGAAGGAAGAAAGTGTAATGACTGTAATAACAGTTATAATTATATGGTATTATCATTATACTTATTATAATTTTAGAGAATCTATTTTGTATGTCCACATAATCAATTCGTTAAAGCAGTAGAGTTCTTTTTACAATAATAATGAAATTATATTATTATTATAAATACTGTAAAGGTGATAATTTTTGAGAGGTTGTATTTTGGAAGGGTTGGATTTTTCAATATAATCAATGAAGAAAACAAGAGAGAAAAAAAACCCCATCAAAGTGAACAACATAGATATATACAGTTGGAGTTTTGATACAGGCTTCAGGAGTTCTGTGTGCCTCGTCTAGTTTGGTGAGATTAAGGATTGCCTCGGCTATGGCTGCTTTTGTCACTGTGGCCCATGTCTCAGACAACTGCCCCTGCAAGATTGTTGAAATCTGTTTTAGTAACCTATCATCCAAAGCTGACGCACCAAACAAATTTGACGCACCAAACAAATTTGACGCACCAAACAAATTAAGTTAAGAATTATACTAACTTAGCCTCTGTGAATTTTTTTAAAAGAAATAGATTTTTGATTGCTCTGTTGACTGGTATGTAACATAAGCTACAATAAATATAATCACATGATTCACATTTTTGTGTTTTAATTACATTAATTAGACTTTTTTCTAATTTCCCCTAAATGGTAAACATTATCCCCCTGATAGCATACTTTGCCCATGTCGTGGATCAGCGAGATGATATTATTGGCGAGGACAGCTGACATCTTACCCCTCATCCACCAACGAGGACCTGACGCCCTGCAATAACATGTCACAGCAAAGCTTCATTTCATGCTTCAACTCCAATATCATTCCAAACATCATCAGTTATTTTCAATATCAATACTCTTCGTGCTCTGCCTATATGTTTTATGGAGGCAGTTAGGATCCACTATAATTAGGGATTATCCTACAACATGTCATCTGTATTCTTAAAAAGAGGTCAAAAGAAACTTGAAATGCCAACCCAGCTATTTTGGAAGTGTCAATGAAATCTGCAAAGTTTGGGAGACCTCTGGAATATTTTTATTTAAATGTGTAACTTTTGATCCTGTATGGGTAAACATGCCACAATCATATGTTGGTTGATACCATGTATTTAGAGTAGAGCTGTACAATAAACTAATCATCCTAACCCCGTTACAGCCTCTCATTGTTACAGTCCAAAGACAGTTAAAGGACATCCTGCGTTTAACTTTGGATCTTCAGAAGGAAAGAAGGTCATAAACACCATGATTGAAACTCAACCCATGTAATGGACAGAGAAGTTATTAAGACATATGTACCAGTCTGGTACATTATGGTAGCACTTTTCATCCCTCGAGAACCTCATAGATAGAGCAGTATAGGATAGCACTATAAAAGTCTTTGACTGGACATGATGACTATAGAGATGTATAAGTCTTTGACTGGACATGATGACTATAGCGATGTACAAGTCTTTGACTGGACATGATGACTATAGAGATGTATAAGTCATTGACTGGACATGATGATTATAGAGATGTGCAAGTGTTTGACTGGACATGATGACTATACAGATGTACAACAAGTCTTTGACTGGACATGATGACTATAGAGATGTACAACAAGTCTTTGACTGGACATGATGATTATAGAGATGTACAAGTGTTTGATTGGACATGATGACTATAGAGATGTATAAGTCTTTGACTGGACATGATGACTATAGCGATGTACAAGTCTTTGACTGGACATGATGACTATAGCGATGTACAAGTCTTTGACTGGACATGATGACTATAGAGATGTACAAGTCTTTGACTGGACATGATGACTATAGAGATGTATAAGTCATTGACTGGACATGATGATTATAGAGATGTGCAAGTGTTTGACTGGACATGATGACTATAGAGATGTACAACAAGTCTATGACTGAACATGATGACTATAGAGATGTACATGATGACTATAGAGATGTACAACATGTCTTTGACTGGACATGATGACTATACAGACGTACAAGTCTTTGACTGGACATGATGACTATAGACATGTACAACAAGTCTTTGACTGGACATGATGACTATACAGATGTACAACAAGTCTTTGACTGGACATGATGACTATAGAGATGTACAACAAGTCTTTGACTGGACATGATGACTATAGAGATGTACAACAAGTCTTTGACTGGACATGATGACTATACAGATGTACAACAAGTCTTTGACTGGACATGATGACTATACAGATGTACAACAAGTGTTGGACTGGACAGGATGACTATAGAGATGTACAAGATGTCTTTGACTGGACTTGATGACTATAGAGAGGTAAAACAAGTATTTGACTCAACATGATGACTATAGACATGTACAACAAGTCTTTGACTGGACATGATGACTATAGAGATGTACAACAAGTCTTTGACTGGACGTGATGACTATAGACATGTACAACAAGTCTTTGACTGGACATGATTACTATAGAGATGTACAACAAGTCTTTGACTGGACATGATGACTATACAGATGTACAACAAGTCTTTGACTGGACATGATGACTATAGAGATGTACAACAAGTCTTTGACTGGACATGATGACTATACAGATGTACAACAAGTCTTTGACTGGACATGATGACTATAGAGATGTACAACATGTCTTTGACTGGACAAGATGACTATAGAGATGTACAACAAGTCTTTGACTGGACATGATGACTATACAGATGTACAACAAGTCTTTGACTGGACATGATGACTATACAGATGTAGAACAAGTGTTTGACTAGACATGATGACTATACACATGTACAACAAGTCTTTGACTGGACATGATGACTATAGAGATGTACAACAAGTCTTTGACTAGACATGATGACTATAGAGATGTACAACAAGTCTTTGACTGGACATGATTAATATAGAGATGTACAACATGTCTTTGACTGGACGAGATGACTATACAGATGTACAACAAGTATTTGACTGGACATGATGACTATAGACATGTAAAACAAGTATTTGACTGGACATGATGACTATAGAGATGTACAACAAGTCTTTGACTGGACATGATGACTATAGAGATGGACATGATGACTATACAGATGTACAACATGTCTTTGACTGGACATGATGACTATACAGACGTACAAGTCTTTGACTGGACATGATGACTATAGACATGTACAACAAGTCTTTGACTGGACATGATGACTATAGACATGTACAACAAGTCTTTGACTGGACATGATGATTATAGAAATGTAAAACAAGTCTTTGACTGGACATGATGACTATACAGATGTACAACATGTCTTTGACTGGATATGATGACTATACAGATGTACAACAAGTCTTTGACTGGACATGATGACTATAGAGATGTACAACAAGTCTTTGACTGGACATGATGACTATACAGATGTACAACAAGTCTTTGATTGGACATGATGACTATAGACATGTACAGCAAGTTTTTGACTGGACATGATGACTATAGACATGTACAACAAGTCTTTGACTGGACATGATGACTATAGAGATGTACAACAAGTCTTTGACTGGACATGATTACTATAGAGATGTACAACAAGTCTTTGACTGGACATGATGACTATACAGATGTAGAACAAGTGTTTGACTAGACATGATGACTATACACATGTACAACAAGTCTTTGACTGGATATGATGACTATACACATGTACAACAAGTCTTTGACTGGATATGATGACTATAGAGATGTACAACAAGTCTTTGACTGGACATGATTACTATAGAGATGTACATGATGACTATACAGACGTACAAGTCTTTGACTGGACATGATGACTATAGAGATGGACATGATGACTATACAGATGTACAACAAGTCTTTGACTGGACATGATGACTATACAGACGTACCACAAGTCTTTGACTGGACATGATGACTATAGACATGTACAACAAGTCTTTGACTGGACATGATGACTATAGAGATGTACAACAAGTCTTTGACTGGACATGATTACTATAGAGATGTACAACAAGTCTTTGACTGGACATGATGACTATAGAGATGGACATGATGACTATACAGATGTACAACAAGTCTTTGACTGGACATGATGACTATACAGATGTACAACAAGTCTTTGACTGGACATGATGACGATAGACATGAACAACAAGTCTTTGACTGGACATGATGACTATACAGATGTACAACAAGTCTTTAATTGGACATGATGACTATAGAGATGTACAACAAGTATTTGACTGAACATGATGACTATAGACATGTACAGCAAGTTTTTGACTGGACATGATGACTATAGACATGTACAACAAGTCTTTGACTGGACATGATGACTATACAGATGTACAACAAGTCTTTGATTGGACATGATGACTATAGAGATGTACAACAAGTCTTTGACTGGACATGATGACTATAGACATGTACAACAAGTCTTTGACTGGACATGATGACTATAGAGATGTACAACAAGTCTTTGACTGGACATGATGACTATACAGATGTACAACAAGTCTTTGACTGGTCAGAATGACTATACAGATGTAAAACAAGTGTTTGACTAGACATGATGACTATAGAGATGTATAACATGTCTTTTACTGGACATGATGACTATACAGATGTACAACAAGTCTTTGACTGGGCATGATGACTATAGAGATGGACATGATGACTATACAGATGTACAACATGTCTTTGACTGGACATGATGACTATACAGACGTACAAGTCTTTGACTGGACATGATGACTATACAGATGTACAACAAGTCTTTGACTGGACATGATGACTATACAGATGTACAACAAGTCTTTGACTGGACATGATGACTATAGAGATGTACAACAAGTCTTTGACTGGACATGATGACTATACAGATGTACAACAAGTCTTTGACTGGACATGATGACTATAGACATGTACAACAAGTCTTTGACTGGACATGATGACGATAGACATGAACAACAAGTCTTTGACTGGACATGATGACTATAGAGATGTACAACATGTCTTTGACTGGACATGATGACTATACAGATGTACAACAAGTCTTTGACTGGATATGACGACTATAGAGAATTGTAGGCTATGTCATTTGCTGTACAGGACATAATCTTATTGATAGTTGATAGTGAATAAACTTTCCAGATATTAAATTCTTACATTTGACTGAAGAAAAAAAAATGTATTTACCGTTTTGAGTTTTTGTCGGCGAGACACTCAGATAGAGACAGACTGCTGATTCCCTTCTGGGGTCCACTGATCTTCACCTTGGTTTGTACTGTGAGAGCCTTACTGATACATGACAATAAAACATCAAGAATATTAGGCTTCTCTGGGTGGAATGAGGAATCACCCTCATCACGACTGGCAAGGTTAACAATACTGTACTCGGCAGGAGGAAGTGAGGTCACAGACAGGATACTGGCCAATGTCTGTGGTTTGACATCTGGCAGGACACGTCGCAGTACAGCTATCACCTGTGAATTAAGCATTAAGCATAGCAAGGATTAAATAAATATATCAATTTGAGTATAATTACTGCCCATAAAGCTATAACCTCTCCTAACATACTCTCTACCCAAAAGTTATAGTCTCACAAGTTATATCAGTCATAGACATCTATCTACTTAATGACATTATCTAAAGATGTCATGCAGGAAATCTCTCCAAGTAGTACAGAGTTATAATCTCTCCAAATATCTTCCATCATGTTTCTCCCCACCATGTGCAATCTCTAACAATCATATGCTATCTCTCCCTGAAGTCATGTTTCTCCCCACCATGTGCAATCTCTAACAATCATATGCTATCTCTCCCTGATGTCATGTTTTCCCAACCATGTGCAATCTCTAACAAGCATATGCTATCTCTCCCTGATGTCATGTTTTCCCAACCATGTGCAATCTCTAACAATCATATGCTATCTCTCCCTGAAGTCATGTTTCTCCCCACCATGTGCAATCTCTAACAATCATATGCTATCTCTCCCTGATGTCATGTTTCTCCCCACCATGTGCAATCTCTAACAATCATATGCTATCTCTCCCTGATGTCATGTTTTCCCAACCATGTGCAATCTCTAACAATCATATGCTATCTCTCCCTGATGTCATGTTTTCCCAACCATGTGCAATCTCTAACAATCATATGCTATCTCTCCCTGATGTCATGTTTCTCCCCACCATGTGCAATCTCTAACAATCATATGCTATCTCTCCCTGATGTCATGTTTCTCCCCACCATGCGCAATCTCTAACAATCATATGCTATCTCTCCCTGGTGTCTCCCCAACATACTCCTCACCTGTCTCTGGACCCTTGGGGAGCCTGTGTGTAGCAGACTGAAGAGATCCTGGAGAAGTGGGTACTGCTGAGCAAGGTAAGCCCTCCCTACTCCAGACCCACTCAGGGCTAGCACCATAGACAATAGCTCAAAACAATAGGCATCCTGGTCACTGTTAAAGATCAACATCACTTTATCTATAATCATTATATTTCCACAACAATGCCTAAACAGACAATATGTTGCAAAGATCAAATCATATAGTACATGTATGTTGGACTTAGTGCCTGTTCAGACCCAAACAATATCTCATACAGTGGACAAGAGGCTTAAAGCAATATGACTATTTTTTCACACACTATGTGGGCATCATTAAGGGAACCTTTTGGCCAAATCTTGTGATCCTAGGCTTTTAGGTTAATCAGAAGTTGTTCAAAGGTTCAACACATTTGACTGTTGTGACCTTGAATATGGGTCAAGGTCATTTCTGTTCTCAAATACTACCAGGCATCATTAAGAACCTATTTTAGAATAATATCACTATCCCAGATGTTTTGGATAATCAGAAAATGTCATTTAAATGTTTAACACATTTGACTCCTTTAACCTTGACTATGGGTCAAGGTCATTTCTTTTTGAAAACTTTCTTGGACTTCATAAAAGGAACATACTGGCCAAATTTAATGATTCTAGGCTTTTCGATATTTCAGAAGAAATTGTTTAAACGTTTTAACACATTTGACCCCTGTGACCTTGAAGATTGGTCAAGGTCATTTCTTTAAGCAAACTTTGTAGGACAAGATAAGAGGAACATAGTAGTCTAATATAATGATTCTAGGCCTTTCGATATTTGGGGAGAAGTCGTTTAAATGTTTTAACACATTTGACCTCTGTGACCTTGAATATGGGTCAAGGTCATTTCTTTTTGCAAACTTTGTTGGGCTTCATCAAAGGAACTTTTCAGCCAAATATTATAACTCTACATCTTTTGGTATTTCAGAAGAAGTTGTTTGAAGGAAAAGTTGATGGATGCAGGACCCTTTAGGCCTTTGGGCCTGGTGAGCTAAAAATGAGCAGAGAAGGATGTTTACAATCTGACATACTGACCTGGTATCATGGATCAGCTGGTTGTTGTTAAGTGAAACTTCCCATTCCTCTTTAACTCTGCTTGTCTCCTTACGTATTCCCTGTACTATATGGGAACACACCTACAAAGACACACACCGATATCTCATGTCTTCATCTCTAGGATTATATAAATACTACACAAAGCAGACTAGGAAAGATTCCAGTCTCTATAAAATGTCAGTCATGTATTTACCTGTTTCTGTAGATGAGAGAGTTTGCCACTACGGCTGAACAGAATGCCAACCATGTGTTCCTTGAGATTGTGATCTCCATCAAGACTATCGCCACTGACTAGCCCGCCATGATCAACTTTCTCGCACACAAACTTGTCATTGACCAGTTTACCAAACACCTGTAAACAAAATACTTAATTCTTCAGTATAACAAATAAAATATCATATTTACACAAAAATATAACTCTATACACACAATTTACAGGAGAGTACAAAGTATGTATACAAAGAAAGAGTAACACAGGAAAGTAAAGAAAACACCAAGATCTCATTTAAATCTTACAACTGGGCAGTAGATCCATTTCGTCTCTTTAACATTCCTTTGAATAAAGAAATGGTGTGAAAAAACATCCAGATTATGTGAAGGGGCATTGGGGGTGGGGGAAGGGTGTGTGTGTGTGTGTGCCACACTTAGTCACCCCCTATGAACCTACAGCGGAATACAGCAGGCCCTAATCTTCGGCTCTGCAATATCTCCTAAACAGAAGGCATTTGAGAAATCACATGCAATCTGTAAGGGGTGCCCTCTGTTTAGTCACCTCTGACAACATGCAGTTTTACAGCTGTGATAACTTACTTGTGAGGTAAGGAGTCTAAACACCTTGAGGGTCTCCCCCTCACAACTGTCCTGTTGGAGATCCTGAGCAGACTTCTTGGCTGGGACACTTGTATCCTCTCCTTCAAGGTCTCCTAGGACCTTGATCTGTCGAACGCGGAGGCTGTGGTCTGGCCCCTTCAGCTCTAGTTGGAAACAGCGGTACTGCATGTCTGGGATGTGACAGCTAATCCAGCCACTCTGACGCGTCTCAATATCCATCTATAAGAAGGGGAACACTTTTCAGAACTTAATATCAAGCTGTTACAGGAGAGACTTTTTACAATCCTGACTACCTATACAATTTAATATTGAACAATTGATAATTAACAATTTCAGTTAGTATTCACAACCTAGAACTGTTTAGATGTATATTTACCTGCTGTAGTTTTTTCAGCTCTTCTGTGTTACAGCCAGCACTGATTCCCATATAGTTCACTTTACTCTGTAAATGTTAAACAGTCACAAATTTAAACATATATTACTGCTATGTTACATCATTTTAACTTCAGCCTGTCTACCAAAATGGTTTCATCTAAAAAGAGAGGGATTTTCTCCATTGACCTTTACATCACCAACAACTTGATCCTGTATTTATTGTCAGTCACATCTGTACTGTATAACCTCATAACCAAATGTGAAAAATACCCTGAGCTCCTGTGTATTATCTATATATAGTGATACATACTCCGAGGTCCTGTGTATTATCTATATATAGTGATACATACTCCGAGGTCCTGTGTATTATCTATATAAAGTGATACATACACTGAGGTCCTGTGCATTATCTATATACAGTGATACATACACTGAGGTCCTGTGTATTGTCTATATACGGTGATACATACACTGAGGTAGTGATATATATACTGGTACCAGGATCTGTCTACAGTGTAGATATATATACTGGTACCAGGATCTATCTACACAGTGTTGATATATATACTGGTACCAGGATCTGTCTACAGTGTTGATATATATACTGGTACCAGGATCTGTCTACAGTGTTGATATATATACTGGTACCAGGATCTGTCTACAGTGTTGATATATATACTGGTACCAGGATCTGTCCATACAGTGTTGATATATATACTGGTACCAGGATCTATCTACACAGTGTTGATATATATACTGGTACCAGGATCTGTCTACAGTATAGATATATATACTGGTACCAGGATCTATCTACACAGTGTTGATATATATACTGGTACCAGGATCTGTCTACACAGATATCTATATACAGTGATACATACACTGAGGTTATGTGCATTATCTATATACAGTGATACATACACTGAGGTCCTGTGCATTATCTATATACAGTGATACATCCACTGGTGTCCTGTGTATTATCTATATACACTGATACATCCACTGGTGTCCTGTGTATTATCATCTATATACAGTGATACATACACTGAGGCTCTGTGTATTATTATCTATATACAGTGATACATACACTGGTGTCCTGTGTATTATCATCTATATACAGTGATACATACACTGAGGCTCTGTGTATTATTATCTATATACAGTGATACATACACTGGTGTCCTGTGTATTATCTATATACACTGATACATACACTGGTGTCCTGTGTATTATTATCTATATACAGTGATACATACACTGAGGTCCTGTATATTATTATCTATATACAGTGATACATACACTGCTGTTCTGTGTATTATCATCTATATACAGTAATACATACATTGAGGTCCTGTGTATTATTATCTATATACAGTGATACATACACTGGTGTCCTGTGTATTATCATCTATATACAGTGATACATACACTGATGTCCTGTGTATTATCTATATACAGTGATACATACACTGAGGTCCTGTTTATTATTATCTATATACAGTGATGCATACACTGGTGTCCTGTGTATTATTATCTATATACAGTGATACATACAATGGTGTCCTGTGTATTATTATCTATATACAGTGATACATACACTGGTGTCCTGTGTATTATCTATATACAGTGATACATACACTGGTGTCCTGTGTATTATTATCTATATACAGTGATACATACACTGAGGTCCTGTGTATTATTATCTATATACAGTGAAACATACACTGGTGTCCTGTGTATTGTCTATATACAGTGATACATACACTGAGGTAGTGATATATATACTGGTACCAGGATCTGTCTACAGTGTAGATATATATACTGGTACCAGGATCTATCTACAGTGTTGATATATATACTGGTACCAGGATCTGTCTACAGTGTTGATATATATACTGGTACCAGGATCTGTCTACAGTGTTGATATATATAATGGTACCAGGATCTGTCTACAGTGTTGATATATATACTGGTACCAGGATCTGTCTACACAGTGTTGCTATATATACTGGTACCAGGATCTGTCTACAGTATTGATATATATACTGATACCAGGATCTGTCTACACAGTGTTGATATATATACTGGTACCAGGATCTATCTACACAGTGTTGATATATATACTGGTACCAGGATCTGTCTACAGTATAGATATATATACTGGTACCAGGATCTATCTACACAGTGTTGATATATATACTGGTACCAGGATCTATCTACACAGTGTTGATATATATACTGGTACCAGGATCTGTCTACACAGATATCTATATACAGTGATACATACACTGAGGTCATGTGCATTATCTATATACAGTGATACATACACTGAGGTCCTGTGCATTATCTATATACAGTGATACATCCACTGGTGTCCTGTGTATTATCTATATACAGTGATACATCCACTGGTGTCCTGTGTATTATCATCTATATACAGTGATACATACACTGAGGGTCTGTGTATTATTATCTATATACAGTGATACATACACTGGTGTCCTGTGTATTATCATCTATATACAGTGTTACATACACTGAGGCTCTGTGTATTATTATCTATATACAGTGATACATACACTGGTGTCCTGTGTATTATCTATATACAGTGATACATACACTGAGGTAGTGATATATATACTGGTACCAGGATCTGTCTACAGTATTGATATATATACTGATACCAGGATCTGTCTACACAGTGTTGATATATATACTGGTACCAGGATCTATCTACACAGTGTTGATATATATACTGGTACCAGGATCTATCTACACAGTGTTGATATATATACTGGTACCAGGATCTATCTACACAGTGTTGATATATATACTGGTACCAGGATCTGTCTACACAGATATCTATATACAGTGATACATACACTGAGGTCATGTGCATTATCTATATACAGTGATACATACACTGAGGTCCTGTGCATTATCTATATACAGTGATACATCCACTGGTGTCCTGTGTATTATCTATATACAGTGATACATCCACTGGTGTCCTGTGTATTATCATCTATATACAGTGATACATACACTGAGGCTCTGTGTATTATTATCTATATACAGTGATACATACACTGGTGTCCTGTGTATTATCATCTATATACAGTGATACATACACTGAGGCTCTGTGTATTATTATCTATATACAGTGATACATACACTGGTGTCCTGTGTATTATCATCTATATACAGTGATACATACACTGAGGCTCTGTGTATTATTATCTATATACAGTGATACATACACTGGTGTCCTGTGTATTATCACCTATATACAGTGATACATACACTGAGGTCCTGTGTATTATCTATATACAGTGATACGTACACTGAGGTCCTGTTTATTATTATCTATATACAGTGATGCAAACACTGGTGTCCTGTGTATTATTATCTATATACAGTAATACATACACTGGTGTCCTGTGTATTATCTATATACAGTGATATATACACTGGTGTCCTGTGTATTATCTATATACAGTGATACATACACTGGTGTCCTGTGTATTATTATCTATATACAGTGATACAGACACTGAGGTCCTGTGTATTATTATCTATATACAGTGATACATACACTGGTGTCCTGTGTATTATCTATATACAGTGATACATACCCCGAGGTCCTGTATATTATCTATATACAGTGATACATACATTGGTGTCCTGTGTATTATCTATATACAGTGATACATACACTGGTGTCCTGTGTATTATCTATATACAGTGATACATACACTGGTGTAGTGTGTATTATTATCTATAACAGTGATACATACACTGAGGTCATGTGTATTATTATCTATATACAGTGATACATACACTGAGGTCTTGTGCATTATCTATATACAGTGATACATACACTGAGGTCATGTGCATTATCTATATACAGTGATACATACACTGAGGTCCTGTGTATTATTATCTATATACAGTGATACATACACTGAGGTCCTGTGTATTATTATCTATATACAGTGATACATACACTGGTGTCCTGTGTATTGTCTATATACAGTGATACATACACTGAGGTAGTGATATATATACTGGTACCAGGATCTGTCTACAGTGTAGATATATATACTGGTACCAGGATCTATCTACACAGTGTTGATATATATACTGGTACCAGGATCTGTCTACAGTGTTGATATATACTGGTACCAGGATCTGTCAACACAGTGTTGATATATATACTGGTACCAGGATCTGTCTACACTGTGTTGATATATATAGTGGTACCAGGATCTGTCTACACTGTGTTCATATATATACTGGTACCAGGATCTGTCTACACAGTGTTGATATATATACTGGTACCAGGATCTGTCTACACAGTGTTGATATATATACTGGTACCAGGATCTGTCTACATTGTTGATATATATACTCGTACCAGGATCTGTCTACAGTGTAGATATATATACTGGTACCAGGATCTGTCTACACTGTGTTGATATATATACTGGTACCAGGATCTATCTACACAGTGTTGATATATATACTGGTACCAGGATCTGTCTACAGTGTTGATATATATACTGGTACCAGGATCTGTCTACACAGTGTTGATATATATACTGGTACCAGGATCTGTCTACACTGTGTTGAATTATATACTGGTACCAGGATATGTGTACACAGTATTGATATATATACTGGTAACAGGATCAGTCTACAGTGTTGATATATATACTGGTACCAGGATCTGTCTACACAGATATCTATATACAGTGATACATACACTGAGGTCATGTGCATTATCTATATACAGCGATACATACACTGAGGTCCTGTGCATTATCTATATACAGTGATACATACACTGGTGTCCTGTGTATTATCTATATACAGTGATACATACACTGGTGTCCTGTGTATTATCATCTATATACAGTGATACATACACTGAGGCTCTGTGTATTATTATCTATATACAGTGATACATACACTGGTGTCCTGTGTATTATCATCTATATACAGTGATACATACACTGAGGCTCTGTGTATTATTATCTATATACAGTGATACATACACTGGTGTCCTGTGTATTATCTATATACAGTGATACATACACTGGTGTCCTGTGTATTATTATCTATATACAGTGATACATACACTGGTGTCCTGTGTAATATCATCTATATACAGTGATACATACACTGAGGTCCTGTGTATTATCTATATACAGTTATACATACACTGAGGTCCTGTTTATTATTATCTATATACAGTGATGCATACACTGGTGTCCTGTGTATTATTATCTATATACAGTGATACATACACTGGTGTCCTGTGTATTATCTATATACAGTGATACATACACTGGTGTCCTGTGTATTATTATCTATATACAGTGATACATACACTGGTGTCCTGTGTATTATCTATATACAGTGATACATACACTGGTGTCCTGTGTATTATCTATATACAGTGATACATACACTGGTGTCCTGTGTATTATCTATATACAGTGATACATACACTGGTGTCCTGTGTATTATCTATATACAGTGATACATACACTGGTGTCCTGTGTATTATTATCTATATACAGTGATACATACACTGAGGTCCTGTGTATTAACTGTATACAGTGATACATACACTGAAGTCCTGTGTATTAACTATATACAGTGATACATATACTGGTGTCCTGTGTATTATCTATATACAGGGATACATACACTGGTGTCCTGTGTATTATCTATATACAGTGGTACATACACTGAGGTCCTGTGGATTATCTATATACAGTGATACATACACTGGTGTCCTGTGTATTATCTATATACAGTGATACATACACTGAGGTCCTGTGTATTATTATCTATATACAGTGATACATACACTGGTGTCCTGTGTATTATCTATATACAGTGATACATACACTGGTGTCCTGTGTATTATTATCTATATACAGTGATACATACACTGGTGTCATGTGTATTATCTATATACAGTGATACATACACTGGTGTCCATACACTGTGTATTATCTATATACAGTGATATTATTATCTATATACAGTGATACATACACTGGTGTCCTGTGTATTATTATCTATATACAGTGATACATACACTGGTGTCCTGTGTATTATCTATATACAGTGTGTATATCATACACTGGTGTCCTGTGTATTATCTATATACAGTGATACATACACTGGTGTCCTGTGTATTATCTATATACCGTGATACATACACTGGTGTCCTGTGTATTATCTATATACAGTGATACATACACTGGTGTCCTGTGTATTATTATCTATATACAGTGATATATACACTGAGGTCCTGTGTATTATTATCTATATACAGTGATACATACACTGGTGTCCTGTGTATTATCTATATACAGTGATACATACACTGAGTCCTGTGTATTATTTGTATATACGAGGATACAAAATACATGAATCCTGTGTATTATCTATATACAGTGATACATACATTGGTGTCCTGTGTATTATCTATATACAGTGATACATACACTGGTGTCCTGTGTATTATCTATATACAGTGATACATACACTGGTGTCCTGTGTATTATCTATATATAGTGATACATACACTGAGGTCCTGTGTATTATCTATATACAGTGATACATACACTGAGGTCCTGTGTATTATCTATATACAGTGATACATACACTGAGGTCCTGTGTATTATCTGTAGACAATGATACATACACTGGTGTTCTGTGTATTATCTATATACAGTGATACCTACCCTAAGGTCCTGTGTATTATTATCTATATACAGTGATACATACACTGAGGTCCTGTTTATTATTATCTATATACAGTGATGCATATACTGGTGTCCTGTGTATTATTATCTATATACAGTGATACATACACTGGTGTCCTGTGTATTATCTATATACCGTGATACATACACTGGTGTCCTGTGTATTATTATCTAAATACAGTGATATATACACTGAGTTCCTGTGTATTATTATCTATATACAGTGATACATACACTGGTGTCCTGTGTATTATCTATATACAGTGATACATACACTGGTGTCATGTGTATTATCTATATACAGTGATACATACACTGGTGTCCTGTGTATTATTATCTATATACACTGATACATACACTGGTGTCCTGTGTATTATTATCTATATACACTGATACATACACTGAGGTCCTGTGTATTAACTGTATACAGTGATACATATGACCTGTGTATTAACTATATACAGTGATACATATACTGGTGTCCTGTGTATTATCTATATACAGGGATACATACACTGGTGTCCTGTGTATTATCTATATACAGTGATACATACACTGAGGTCCTGTGGATTATCTAGATACAGTGATACATACACTGGTGTCCTGTGTATTATTATCTATATACAGTGATACATACACTGGTGTCCTGTGTATTATCTATATATAGTGATACATACACTGAGGTCCTGTGTATTATCTATATACAGTGATACATACACTGAGGTCCTGTGTATTATCTATAGACAATGATACATACACTGGTGTCCTGTGTATTATCTATATACAGTGATACCTACCCTAAGGTCCTGTGTATTATTATCTATATACTGTGATACATACACTGAGGTCCTGTTTATTATTATCTATATACAGTGATGCATACACTGGTGTCCTGTGTATTATTATCTATATACAGTGATACATACACTGGTGTCCTGTGTATTATCTATATACCGTGATACATACACTGGTGTCCTGTGTATTATCTATATACAGTGATACATACACTGGTGTCCTGTGTATTATTATCTAAATACAGTGATATATACACTGAGGTCCTGTGTATTATTATCTATATACAGTGATACATACACTGGTGTCCTGTGTATTATCTATATACAGTGATACATACCCCGAGGTCCTGTGTATTATCTATATACAGTGATACATACATTGGTGTCCTGTGTATTATCTATATACAGTGATACATACACTGGTGTCCTGTGTATTATCTATATACAGTGATACATACACTGGTGTCCTGTGTATTATCTATATATAGTGATACATACACTGAGGTCCTGTGTATTATCTATAGACAGTGATACATACACTGAGGTCCTTTGTATTATCTATATACAGTGATACATACACTGAGGTCCTGTGTATTATCCTGTGTACACTGGTGTTCTGTGTATTATCTATATACAGTGATACCTACCCTAAGGTCCTGTGTATTATTATCTATATGCAGTGATACATACACTGAGGTCCTGTGTATTATCTATAGACAGTGATACATACACTGAGGTCCTGTGTATTATCTATATACAGTGATACATACACTGAGGTCCTGTGTATTATCTATATACAGTGATACATACACTGGTGTCCTGTGTATTATTATCTATATACAGTGATACATACACTGGTGTCCTGTGTATTATCTATATACAGTGATACATACACTGAGGTCCTGTGTATTATCTATAGACAGTGATACATACACTGAGGTCCTGTGGATTATCTATATACAGTGATACATACACTGGTGTCCTGTGTATTATTATCTATATACAGTGATACATACACTGGTGTCCTGTGTATTATCTATATATAGTGATACATACACTGAGGTTCTGTGTATTATCTATATACAGTGATACATACACTGAGGTCCTGTGTATTATCTATAGACAGTGATACATACACTGGTGTCCTGTGTATTATCTATATACAGTGATACATACACTGGTGTCCTGTGTATTATTATCTATATACAGTGATACATACACTGAGGTCCTGTTTATTATTATCTATATACAGTGATACATACACTGAGGTCCTGTGGATTATCTATATACAGTGATACATATGCTGAGGTCCTGTGTATTATCTGTATACAGTGATACATACACTGAGGTCCTGTGTATTATCTATATACAGTGATACATACACTGGTGTCCTGTGTATTATTATCTATATACAGTGATACATACACTGGTGTCCTGTGTATTATCTATATACAGTGATACATACACTGAGGTCCTGTGTATTATCTATAGACAGTGATAGATACACTGAGGTCCTGTGTATTATCTATAGACAGTGATACATACACTGGTGTCCTGTGTATTATCTATATACAGTGATACATACACTGAGGTCCTGTGTATTATCTATAGACAATGATACATACACTGGTGTCCTGTGTATTATCTATATACAGTGATACCTACCCTAAGGTCCTGTGTATTATTATCTATATACAGTGATACATACACCGAGGTCCTGTTTATTATTATCTATATACAGTGATACATACACTGAGGTCCTGTGTATTATTATCTATATACAGTGATACATACACTGAGGTCCTGTTTATTATTATCTATATACAGTGATACATACACTGATCTCCTGTGTATTTTCTATATACAGTGATACCTACACTGAGGTCCTGTGTATTATCTATATACAGTGATACATACACTGAGGTCCTGTGCATTATCTATAGACAGTGATATATACACTGAGGTCCTGTGTATTATCTATAGACAGTGATATATACACTGGTGTCCTGTGTATTATTATCTATATACAGTGATACATACACTGAGGTCCTGTGTATTATTATCTATATACAGTGATACATACACTGGTGTCCTGTGTATTATCTATATACAGTGATACATACCCCTAGATCCCATGTATTGTCTATATACAGTGATACATACCCCTAGATCCCATGTATTGTCTATATACAGTGATACCTACCCCGAGGTCCTGTGTATTATCTATATACAGTGATACATACCCCGAGGTCCCGTGTATTGTCTATATGGACATACACAACTCTAGGTAGTGACCGGTTGTGACAATTGACGGTAAGTGTCTTCATTTTGTTCCTATCCTCGTCACCACTCTCCCAAAATGTCTCTGTGGAATTGTCTGTAAATATAAACATAACTGAAAGTTTAACAGACTGTTAGTGTGTTCCCTTTGTTAACCACCTGTTTCTGAACCAGTAAACATTAGGTAGGAAACTAACATAGGGAATACATTCATGAAAATGTTCCAATACATCACCACACTGAAAATTTCAATCCAAATCAACTTTTCAATGAAATTCAGACTGTAAGACTGGCTATCATTGCCTGTAGGCTAGAGGCCAGTACCTACCTGTGAGACTGGCTATCATTGCCTGTAGGCTAGAGGCCAGTACCTACCTGTGAGACTGGCTATCATTGCCTGTAGGCTAGAGGCCAGTACCTACCTGTAAGACTGGCTATCATTGCCTGTAGGCTAGAGGCCTGTACCTACCTGTAAGACTGGCTATCATTGCCTGTAGGCTAGAGGCCAGTACCTACCTGTAAGACTGGCTATCATTGCCTGTAGGCTAGAGGCCAGTACCTACCTGTGAGACTGGCTATCATTGCCTGTTGACTAAAGGCCTGTACCTACCTGTGAGACTGGCTATCATTGCCTGTTGAATAGAGGCCTGTACCTACCTGTGAGACTGGCTATCATTGCCTGTAGGCTAGAGGCCTGTACCTACCTGTAAGACTGGCTATCATTGCCTATCATTGTAGGCTAGAGGCCTGTACCTACCTGTAAGACTGGCTATCATTGCCTGTTGACTAAAGGCCTGTACCTACCTGTGAGACTGACTATCATTGCCTGTTGACTAGAGGCCTGTACCTACCTGTGAGACTGGCTATCATTGCCTGTATCATTGCCTGTTGACTAGAGGCCTGTACCTACCTGTGAGACTGGCTATCATTGCCTGTAGGCTAGAGGCCTGTACCTACCTGTAAGACTGGCTATCATTGCCTGTAGGCTAGAGGCCTGTACCTACCTGTAAGACTGGCTATCATTGCCTGTAGGCTAGAGGCCAGTACCTACCTGTGAGACTGGCTATCATTGCCTGTAGGCTAGAGGCCTGTACCTACCTGTAAGACTGGCTATCATTGCCTGTAGGCTAGAGGCCTGTACCTACCTGTAAGACTGGCTATCATTGCCTGTAGGCTAGAGGCCAGTACCTACCTGTAAGACTGGCTATCATTGCCTGTAGGCTAGAGGCCAGTACCTACCTGTGAGACTGGCTATCATTGCCTGTTGACTAAAGGCCTGTACCTACCTGTGAGACTGGCTATCATTGCCTGTTGAATAGAGGCCTGTACCTACCTGTGAGACTGGCTATCATTGCCTGTAGGCTAGAGGCCTGTACCTACCTGTAAGACTGGCTATCATTGCCTGTAGGCTAGAGGCCTGTACCTACCTGTAAGACTGGCTATCATTGCCTGTAGGCTAGAGGCCTGTACCTACCTGTGAGACTGGCTATCATTGCCTGTTGACTAAAGGCCTGTACCTACCTGTGAGACTGACTATCATTGCCTGTTGACTAGAGGCCTGTACCTACCTGTAAGACTGGCTATCATTGCCTGTAGGCTAGAGGCCAGTACCTACCTGTGAGTCTGACTATGATTGCCTGTTGACTAGAGGCCTGTACCTACCTGTGAGACTGGCTATCATTGCCTGTAGGCTAGAGGCCTGTACCTACCTGTAAGACTGGCTATCATTGCCTGTAGGCTAGAGGCCTGTACCTACCTGTAAGACTGGCTATCATTGCCTATTGACTAAAGGCCTGTACCTACCTGTGAGACTGACTATCATTGCCTGTTGACTAGAGGCCTGTACCTACCTGTAAGACTGGCTATCATTGCCTGTAGGCTACAGGCCAGTACCTACCTGTGAGTCTGACTATGATTGCCTGTTGACTAGAGGCCTGTACTTACCTGTGAGACTGACTATCATTGCCTGTAGGCTAGAGGCCTGTACCTACCTGTGTGACTGGCTATCATTGCCTGTTGACTAGAGGCCTGTACCTACCTGTGAGACTGACTATCATTGCCTGTTGACTAGAGGCCTGTACCTACCTGTGAGACTGTCTATCATTGCCTGTAGGCTAGAGGCCTGTACCTACCTGTGAGTCTGACTATGATTGCCTGTTGACTAGAGGTCTGTATCTACCTGTGAGACTGACTATGATTGCCTGTTGACTAGAGGCCAGTACCTACCTGTGAGTCTGACTATGATTGCCTGTTGACTAGAGGTCTGTATCTACCTGTGAGACTGACTATGATTGCCTGTTGACTAGAGGTCTGTATCTACCTGTGAGACTGGCAATCATTGCCTGTTGACTAGAGGCCTGTACCTACCTGTGAGACTGACTATGATTGCCTGTTGACTAGAGGTCTGTACCTACCTGTAAGACTGGCTATCATTGCCTGTTGACTAGAGGCCTGTACCTACCTGTGAGACTGACTATCATTGCATGTTGACTAAAGGCCTGTACCTACCTGTGAGACTGACTATGATTGCCTGTTGACTAGAGGCCTGTACCTACCTGTGAGTCTGACTATGACTGCCTGTTGACTAGAGGTCTGTATCTACCTGTGAGACTGGCTATCATTGCCTGTTGACTACAGGCCTGTACCTACCTGTGAGACTGACTATGATTGCCTGTTGACTAGAGGCCTGTACCTACCTGTGAGACTGGCTATCATTGCCTGTTGACTAGAGGCCTGTACCTACCTGTGAGACTGGCTATCATTGCCTGTCGGCTAGAGGCATGGATATCTGCATTTGCTGTGAGATCCTTCAGCTGCCAAATCTGATGAGAAGCCTTCAGTAGAGCAAAAATGATAACAGAATTTAGAACTTACAGTACACGTAACAGATATTCCATATAACCATGCTCAATGAGATAAATTCGGAAATCATTTCTACAATAATTATCATTTTTGAAAACACAAACTCAAATCAAATTGATAACTTATATAATAATAATGACAATAACTAACACTATATCTTTCTCTCAAATTGAATTACCCAATAAATACAGTTTTGAGCCAAGCAATGAGAAATAGTATCAAAGAATACAAAATTTTGCTCATTAATAAAAAAAAAAATATGGAAAAGCATGACAAGTAATTAGAGACATATTTAAGGAAGTCAAAGTTTTATCAAACAGATCAACAATGTGAGGTTATAAATATGGATAAATTGAAGAAAACAAGGTGGTATTAATTCTACAATGTTTCTGGAATCAGAACTGTTAACAGTTAGAGTTTCACAGCCACTCACATGAAGACTTATTTCTGATGGAGTAAAACACCTGGTTAACATATTCATTTCTTATGGAGTAACACACCTGGTTAACATATTCAGTGAAAACACCCTGAAGAACTGAATGTCAAACTTACACATCACATAATGTGCTGTTTGTCATTCACTTTGAGTTAGCACACCTACACAAACATTTATTCCTATGAACAAATTTGTCCTCCCTGAACCAATTGATTTTTAAATTAAGATTTTTCCCCCACCCAAGCTTTTTAAACCATTAGATCCCTATAATCACACAAAGTCACACATCATTCAGGCCTGATTAACTTGGTTTAGTGTAAAGCTAAGTTTAAGTACACAAAAATGATTGGCTTAGAGCTGAATGAGATTACATCTTTTAAACCTTTACCTACTCACCGGCTTCTTAACCACTTCCTTTACCTGGTCAAACAAGACTTTTGTTGAACTCAAGATATTTTCATTTCTCATTTTACATTTTGTTTAAAAACACATATACTTAAGCAGATTGAAAAGTTTTCAGTATAATCATATCTTCTACTGTTACAACAGTAATGTTTGAATATTTTATATGAAGTACCATTATGTGACAGTAAAGTTATCATAAAAACAGAATGCAGCCCTGAATATACTGTGAATACTTTGCGACCAAACAATGCATGCATAGTGAAATCATGAATTTAATGTAAAAACATAGTGTTATAATGAATTATCTTTGGATGTGGTCATAGAGTGCTATGGATATACTTAATAAATATGAACAATGCTGCCTTGAAAATACCTTAAAAACATTAATACAATTTCACCACCTATGTCCCACTGTATAGAAACATCTTTCAACTACACTAATGTCTTACCAGAGGTGGCTCCCCAACATCATTCTCCTCCTTCTCTTCATCAGATTTACTGAGAATGCGACTGATGTTGCTAAACACATGACATTCGTGTAAAAACTGGTGGTCTGCCTGCTGGAACCTCAGGCAGAAACATCGCACAGCCATCAGCTGGAGATACAGAGATGCATAAATCAGTTGGTTATAAGGCTCCGACTCCATCTACAAGATTTGCTCAAAGACTTAACATCATTTAAATCAGAAAGCACTTTTAACTACTGTAATAATGATAGTAGAAAGTCTCACCTGAACAGAGGAGCCCCAAGGGAGGTGCATCATAACATCAGCTATGGTTTGAAGAAGGGTGTGGAACACCTCAGGGAGGGGGTCTACAGCACTGCCCGCTATCCTGATGTCTGCCAGAGGGTGTTCACATAGTGGGGCCTCCTGTAACACATACAGTAAGGAGCACCATCAGCTTTATACTACTTCTAATAATGCATATTTTCATATTCATAATATATAAATCACACCTGGATGCTATATTTACACAAATAAGAAATAAATAAGAAATACATATGCCAACATATTCTGCGACAAATAATAATGTATCATCTTATTTGGGTTCTTACCTCTGAATAATGGACACTCCTAAAACACATTGGGTTCTTACCTCTGTATAATGGACACTCCTAAAACACATTGGGTTCTTACCTCTGTATAATGGACACTCATAAAACACATTGGGTTCTTACCTCTGTATAATGGACACTCCTAAAACACATTGGGTTCTTACCTCTGTATAATGGACACTCCTAAAACACATTGGGTTCTTACCTCTGAATAATGGACACTCCTAAAACACATTGGGTTCTTACCTCTGTATAATGGACACTCCTAAAACACATTGGGTTCTTACCTCTGTATAATGGACACTCCTAAAACACATTGGGTTCTTACCTCTGTATAATGGACACTCCTAAAACACATTGGGTTCTTACCTCTGTATAATGGACACTCCTAAAACACATTGGGTTCTTACCTCTGTATAATGGACACTCCTAAAACACATTGGGTTCTTACCTCTGTGTCCTTTTTGTTCTGGACCTCCTTTTTCGGTGGTTTCTTCTCCTTCTCTTTATCCTTTTCTTTCTCTTTATCATCTTCTTCTTCTTCCTCCTCCTCCTCCCTTATAGGAGGAGTGAGAGAAGTCACAAGGTACCAAAGGAGGTCGTGTATACACACCGTCCGTGACACTGTCCGCATCAACCAATTCATGGCCTGTACAAAAAAAGATTAATAAAATCACACTAAAAAAGTAACTAGGTTTTAGTTCTCTCTTCATGTCACAGATTTTCTGCTCCAATTTATGTGAAGGTAAAACTTATAATCTCATTTACAGGTTCAGTGTAGTATGTGGTGTCATCACCTTTTCAATATTATGAAAAAAAGTTGACATCCAAAAACAGAAATAGCTGTCAGTGGAAATTCAATTTCACTATCTGTATGAAACTGGAACATTTTAAACTGAAGGCAATGGATATTACTTATATCAGGATTTCTTATCACATACAGAATAGTTTTTGATTGAACATTTTGAGAGAACAATCACACATTTGGACAATCTGACAATTCATGGTGGCCTTCCTTAGTACTCATTTGTATGTGCTATACCAGAGACTGACCTGCATAGCAAACACCCGACAAGTGGCCTTCCTCAGGGCTTGTTTCATGGCTAGTTGTAGTCCATCCAGGTCATGTCGTTGGACAATGAATGCCATCACCGGACGTTGGAGTGTCCGGTCCCCTTCTATTCGTGATGAGCTGGACTTTTCCACAGTAGTCATCAGTTTAGACATTGCTGCAGATGGATGTTTGATCAACGACATTCCACCGTCTGAGAAAAATAATGTTTACTTCCTGTTTGATGTGCATTAGTGAGGTAACTCTAACCCAAAATATGTGTTCATTTGATTCCAATTCCATTGAAACACAGAGATCTGAGGAATTAGATAAATAAATTAACCAGGCCATACGATATGGGAGTATATGTATTATTTTATCACTTATCAAATAGAAGTTCTTGTAACACAACCCGTAGAAGATCTGAGGTGACATTTTAATGACAACTTCAATTTCAGCGAAAACCTACCCCCTACACCTCCGCTGTTGTTTCTCCTTCGTCCTGCATATTGACGATTTCTGTCATTGCCGCTGAACCCTTCATCACTATCAGACACTATCTCTGAAATGCTTCGCTGGAAAGCTGTCTTTTTATGAACTTGTTCAAGTTCCGAGTCCGGACTTGTTCCTGCACTCTTTGGCACTGGCTTATCAGAATCACTGGAGGCATTCATACTTGAATCCTGTACACAACATACACCTGATAGTGTTAAAACATCCTGAACACAACACACATCTGATAGTGTTTAAAACATCCTGTACACAACATACACCTGATAGTGTTAAAAACATCCTGAACATAACATACACCTGATAGTGTTAAAACATCCTGAACACAACACACATCTGATAGTGTTTAAAACATCCTGAACACAACACACATCTGATAGTGTTAAAACATCCTGAACACAACATACACCTGATAGTGTTAACAAGAGATCCCAGAGGGATCTTGGCGGGATCTTGGCGCCCACCATTTGAGGACCTGTTTTCAGTTCTTGAAGATTTGTTAATTTTTTTTGGTTTGTTACAGGTGTTGTATATGTTCATGAACTGGTCTTCATTGAATGTACCCAATGATGGCACAAGATATTTTTATTAAGCACCTATTAGCAAATATCATTTGAAAAAGATCCCAAAGTATTATTAGATAGCAGTCAGTTACAGGTGGATAATGGACAATATGCTTGTGCTGTATTACTGTCGACATCCAAGATGGCTGCCTGTGGGCCACCTTGATTTCAAATCAGTCCAAAAAAGGTACAATGCACAACTAGGGACCAAGGGAAACCAATATCTATGAAATATCAGAAGGATCCATCCAGTACTTCCTCAGATATAGCAGTAACAAGATTTTACTTTCAAAATCCAAGATGGCTCTCTATCAGCCATCTTGATTTCGGATCAGTCCAAAAATGTATAATGCACAACTTGGAACCAAAGGGAACCTGCATATGAAATTTGAGAAAGATCCATCCAGTTCTTTCCAAGAAATAGCAGTAACAAACTTTTACATCCAAAATCCAAGATGGCCACCTGTCAGCCATCTTGAATTCGAATCTGTCCAAAAAAAGGTACAATGCACAACTAGGGACCAAGGGGAAACTGCATATGAAATTTGAGAAAGATCCATCCAGTACTTTCCAAGAAATAGCAGTAATTAACTTTTACTTCCAAAATCCAAGATGGCTGCCTGTCGGCCATCTTGAATTCGAATCAGCCCAAAAAAAGGTACAATGCACAACTAGGGACAAAGGGGAAACTGCATATGAAATTTGAGAAAGATCCATCCAGTTCTTTCTCAGAAATAGCGGTAACAAACTTTCACTTCCAAATGATGGCACAAGATATTTTTATTAAGCACCTATTAGCAAATATCATTTGAAAAAGATCCCAAAGTATTATTAGATAGCAGTCAGTTACAGGTAGATAATGGACAATATGCTTGTGCTGTATTACTGTCGACATCCAAGATGGCCACCTGTCGGCCATCTTGAATTCGAATCAGTCCAAAAAAGGTACAATGCACAACTAGGGACAAAGGGGAACCTGCATATGAAATTTGAGAAAGATCCATCCAGTACTTTTCCAGAAATAGCGGTAATTAACTTTTACTTCCAAAATCCAAGATGGCCACCTGTCGTCCATCTTGAATGCGAATCAGCCCAAAAAAGGTACAATGCACAACTAGGAACCAAGGGGAACCTGCATATGAAATTTGAGAAAGATCCATCCAGTACTTTTCCAGAAATAGCGGTAACAAGAATTGTTTACGGACGGACGGATGACGGACCACTGAATACCCCACCATCTGATGATGGTGGGCTAAAAACATCCTGAACACAACATACACCTGATAGTGTTAAAAACATCCTGAACACAACATACATCTGATAGTGTTTAAAACATCCTGAACACAACATACACCTGATAGTGTTTAAAACATCCTGAACACAACATACACCTGACAGTGTGAAAAACATCCTGAACACAACATACATCTGATAGTGTTAAAAACATCCTGAACACAACAAACATCTGATAGTGTGAAAAACATCCTGTACACAACATACACCTGATAGTGTTAAAAACATCCTGAACACAACATACACCTGATAGTGTTAAAAATATCCTGAACACAACATACACCTGATAGTGTTAAAAACATTTTCTGAAATGTTTGACTACAAACTTACATTATAGACCCATATTTTTTCATAGTACTAAATTTTGTCTATTTCATGGACATTTGATTTCGGGGATATAAATCGACAATAATAAACAAATTTTCCATGGAGAGATATTGTACAAGAGATGCCACAGAAAGACACTTTATTTGGACACGAAGATAAATACTGACCTAATAGGAAGAGGAAAGGTTATATTAGATGTTCATCTGACATGGGACTTTATAGAGAAGTTTGATTAGCCAAGTATTTATCTGTTGTTTAGAATAATTAGCAGTCATAAGTCTAGGAGATATCAGACCAACCTTAACTTACAAGATTGTGTGACAAAAGGTAATTTACAGAGAAAAATAAAGGTATCCTAGTGAGACACAGGCAACACAACAAAGCATTATTTTTTTAACTTCAGGATATTTGCCTGACCTTTGGGAGATAAGTACATGACCTTGGGATGAACTTACTGACCTTTTAAAGGGGGAGATATTTGACTGACTGAGGAAACAGAAGATGATATCTAACTAACCTTAGGACTAGAAGGAGACATCTGTGACAATGGCGGTCGTATATCCTGGCCCAAAGACCCTGATCTGGCCAGCGGACTGTGACGTGGTTCTGTCGGTAGTCTGGGTCTAAGAAAGGATTGCTTCTGGTTAACACTAAGTGACCCTGACCTTACAAACACACGCTCATCCATGTCAATGAAGAAGTCATCAGCAAACGCAGAGTCAGAGTTCTGAGCACTCTGAGATATGAGGTATTGAAATGGCACAGGGGGGAAGGGGTTCAGCTCGGATCCATACTCCTCATAGACGCTGGGAAGGAAGGGATCCGAACGGTTCACACCATGGTATTTTTTGTGTGTCTGTATTGGGATGGTGATCCCTGAGGCACTAGCCAAGTCCATCAGAAACATTGCATTGTTCTTGAGCACAGTATGAGGTTCCAGTGTTGTCAGAACACTCTGCCTGGATTGATTATTTTTCTTTTTCATTTTTTTCACTTTCTCTTTGTCTTTCTGCTGTTGGCGTTTCTCCTTGAGGTATTTCTCGCGACATCGTTCACATATGAGGTACCAGCTACTTCCCCCATATCCCCCTTCCCCACAGTTTCCAGCCCATCCTCCACAATAGTTGCCACTGCTGTTGTAACCTTTACCCCCTGCATGTCTTCCACATCCAGGATGTGTCTGCCGCATGTGGAATGTGACTGGGTGTGAGAACATTGATCCACAAAGTTCACATGACGTTTCACCTTTATCAGGCCCTCCTCCAGCAAACACTCCTGCCATGGCATCTCCAACTGCATTCTCCCGCCATGGTACTTTGTTCTCTTTTTTCTTCTTGCTTTTCTTATCTTTCTCCTTGTCTTTCTTCTCATTTTTCTTGTTGCGGAGCAAGACTGCCGGACTGGGGTAGATGAGCTCCTGTGTGATGACCCTGAGGACAGTGGAGGAAAGCTCCTCCCAGAAGTAAACAAGATGGTGGAGTGTAGGAGGAAGCGGTGAGGATTTATCCTCATCCTCTGCAACATACAATACACTATCAGATTTGTGACGGTCGCCAGTAGCCTTCCTGTATACACCATCTTTTCCCTTCTTTACCTCTAATGTTTTCTCCAACAAGTCAAACTTTTCTGACTTATCTGACCTGTCAGAGTCACTACCTACTAACTGTGGCTCTAGATTAAACCTTACTCTTGCCTCATTAATATTCATGTTCTCTTTCCTTCTGTTGAATTCTTTACTGGAATCTGTTGCATGCCGCACTCGCATCTTCTCCTGTTTCTTGCGGTTAGCATATTTAGACATTTCTTTCTGCAGGTCCGGATGGAACTTCAGGAAAGAGGCACATGCCATAGCGTCATGTACTATACCCTCGTGCCAGAGGAATGCAGCAAATACAGAGCGCAGGCACTCAGCCACAGAAGGGGATAGAGCATCCTTCACAGGTTCCTTAGCTTTGTCCAGAATCGAGGATGCAGATGATGACCGTGCCCTTCCTACAGGAGTTATGTCCCTTGATGAGGGAGATGATGCTCGTTTAGAACGTAATTGTCTTCCTCTGTCTTTCCGACTTGGTTTCGGTGACATCCTAACATAACAAGTGTCAATAGATTAGACTCAAAAAGGTCATAGGTCATTTGTATCAATAAGCAAAGCATAAGTTTACATACTTTTAATCAACAATGTAGGACCATATCAAATGTCAATATAGGTGACATCTCCACAATAATCTATCATTTGTACATTCATAATGCAATACCTAACATTGGCGGTATCTTACCTTGGAGATTCATCCTTAGGGGAAGCTGAGCCGATGTTGAATAAGCGATCTGAGTTACCTGACCCTGGGGTTGGGGAAATGTTGACAGGTGATGCTCTGGATGGGCTGGAGTGTAGGCGGGGACTGCCAGACCCTCTCCTATAGTATAGAGATTGACTTGATTTGTTCAAAAATGCATTATAAAAGATAATTTGTAAATTCATTAAGTAGGATTGAAGTAGTATTCAAATCAGTTCTGGATTTCCAATTTTGATCTGTGTTCTATTATTTCACTTACTGTAAAGGTTTTTTTTTACAAATTTTGTGGTTTTATCAAAAGCTTCAGAAAAAAAAAAAAAAAAAAACAGGATTTAACAAATATGTACATAGAAAGAAATTCAGCTTAACATGTATTTGGATGGTTTTTTACATACATGTTAAGTATATTCAATGTTTCGTTACGATATTTATTGTATATTTTGTAATTGTAGCAAAGTTCAATTAATTGTTAACTTTTTTTTAAATCTTTATTGAAAATTAATATGATCTTGCTTATTATAACTATTCAGCAGGTTTGGTAATATAGCACTTGTAATTAATTGGAACAGTTTGAACACAAATGTTGATGCTGCCCTCGAAAAGTAACACTCTGTTCATTTCTCAACTCCTCAGAGAATATCAAAACAACAAACTCCTAGTCAATATTTACCTGACAAGTTTATACAAATGTATATTCAGGATGGTTGAACATCAACAACATCATATTATATTCAGAACAATTCCCTAATTTATACAAAGACAATATTTACAGTAAATGAAAAGAGAAATCAATTGACTTCACATTTCCTTGTTGTGAATTGCCTCCAACTTGCCTGCCACTCCTGGCTGGTGATGTGTGCGGACTACCTATACTTCCTTTCCGAGGAACTGCTGGAGGAAGTCCTGCAAGTCCTGCCTCTTTCTGAGTATTTGGAGTGGAACTTGAAGGCTGATGTTTTGGGCGAACAGCCGGTGACCCTGGAGGTGACTGGGAATCACGGTCAAAAGATGCCTCCTTTTTGAGCTGTGCACGGCGAACGAGGCTTGGACTGTCGGGTGGAGTGCTAAAGGTCTCGTCTTTGAGAGAGGCCTGAGATGATGACTCTGACACACCTCGGGAAGGTTTGCTCTCCACCTTGGCTAATCTTGGGCTCAAGCTACGGTTTGGAGAGCCAGTTTTGGGGGAAGCTGAATAGTAAAATACTACGTTTGGAAATATTGTTAAATCTTCACAACTGTGTTTACTGACCCAAATATCCTATTGAACAATAAAGATGGTGAGATCAGAGACAGAATGAAAATGTCATAACCCAGACTGTCAATGTCAAAAATGGGGCAAAGCCACAATTGGCCGGTTTGCGGATGAGTACAATGTTGACAATGAATCCATAATAGGAGGTGCACATCTTCAACATATATACACTATGTGCAACCCGGCCAAAAATCAGTCTGAATAATGAGGTCAGAGGTCATAAGTTAGGATTCAATTTTCTTTTAGTGGTCAAAGTGGATTAATTTAAGTTTTTCTGTTGTGATTTAAGGCATTGTCCATAGACTTACCTGATCTGTCAGGTGCTAAATGTGGACTGGAGCTACGTGAGCCACATTTCTTAGGAGTGCCTGGTGGTGAGGGTACAGGAGTGGGACCATTTCCATTAGCTCTACTTTCACCTGTAACATAGAGGGAAGACTCAACACAGCTCTACACAGTCAGCTCAGTAAAGATTTGACTCAACACAGCTCTACACAGTCAGCTCAGTAAAGATTTGACTCAACAGAGCTCTACACAGTCAACTCAGTAAAGATTTCACACAACACAGCTCTACAGAGTCAACACAGTGAAGATTTCACACAACACAGCTCTACAAAGTCAACACAGTAAAGATTTCACTCAACACAGCTCTACACAGTCAACACAGTAAAAATTTCACTAACCAGAGCTCTACATAATCAACTCAGTAAAGATTTCACACAACACAGCTCTACACAGTCCTTGCAATAAAGATTTCACTGCACACAGCTTTACACAGTCCTCACAATAAAGATTTCACTCCACACAGCTCTACACAGTCCTCATAATAAAGATTTCACTCCACACAGCTCTACACAGTCCTCACAATAAAGATTTCACTCCACACAGCTCTACACAGTCCTTGCAATAAAGATTTCACTGCACACAGCTTTACACAGTCCTCACAATAAAGATTTCACTCCACACAGCTCTACACAGTCCTCACAATAAAGATTACACTCCACACAGCTCTACACAGTCCTCATAATAAAGATTTCACTCCACACAGCTCTACACAGTCCTCATAATAAAGATTTCACTCCACACAGATCTTCACAGTCCTCACAATAAAGATTTCACTCCACACAGCTCTACACAGTCCTCACAATAAAGATTACACTCCACACAGCTCTACACAGTCCTCACAATAAAGATTTCACTCCACACAGCTCTACACAGTCCTCACAATAAAGATTTCACTCCACACAGCTCTACACAGTCCTCACAATAAAGATTACACTCCACACAGCTCTACACAGTCCTCACAATAAAGATTACACTCCACACAGCTCTACACAGTCCTCACAATAAAGATTACACTCCACACAGCTCTACACAGTCCTCACAATAAAGATTACACTCCACACAGCTCTACACAGTCCTCACAATAAAGATTACACTCCACACAGCTCTACACAGTCCTCACAATAAAGATTACACTCCACACAGCTCTACACAGTCCTCACAATAAAGATTTCACTCCACACAGCTCTACACAGTCCTCATAATAAAGATTTCACTCCACACAGATCTTCACAGTCCTCACAATAAAGATTTCACTGCACACAGCTCTACACAGTCCTCACAATAAAGATTTCACTGCACACAGCTCTACACAGTCCTCACAATAAAGATTTCACTCCACACAGCTCTACACAGTCCTCACAATAAAGATTACACTCCACACAGCTCTACACAGTCCTCACAATAAAGATTTCACTCCACACAGATCTTCACAGTCCTCACAATAAAGATTACACTCCACACAGCTCTACACAGTCCTCACAATAAAGATTTCACTCCACACAGATCTTCACAGTCCTCACAATAAAGATTACACTCCACACAGCTCTACACAGTCCTCACAATAAAGATTTCACTCCACACAGCTCTACACAGTCCTCACAATAAAGATTACACTCCACACAGCTCTACACAGTCCTCACAATAAAGATTTCACTCCACACAGCTCTACACAGTCCTCACAATAAAGATTACACTCCACACAGCTCTACACAGTCCTCATAATAAAGATTTCACTCCACACAGATCTTCACAGTCCTCACAATAAAGATTTCACTCCACACAGCTCTACACAGTCTTCACAATAAAGATTACTCTACATCTTACCAGTGATACTCACAGACATGTATCCTTAATCTAAAAATAACTCATCCCTACATTGATGAATCATTTCAAATTAACATCTTTATTTTGTAATGAAGAGAAAAAAGCTAACAAAGGAAAAAGACATTTTGCAAGTTTGTTCCTACAAGAAACTAGAAAGGGATGAAATGTTACTGATGTGGAAGGAGATCAGTAGTAATAACATATACGTATGTAGGTAAAGAAACCTGTACAGCTACTACAGATAATTCAGTCAGGGCTTTAGATCTATATTTAGTTCATATTACAAGTGAACTAAATTAGTGTTGGTAGTTTTCAAGAAACATTGAATATGGGAAACATTGATCTCAGATAAAGACTATATAAAATGAGTATAAACAGGTGATGACAAACACTAAACAGGTAATTATAGGATTGATTCGTAGTATTAACCAATCATATCGTTCCGTTGCTAAGACAACACATCTAACATAGACATGCATAGTTGTAAGTTAATCACATTGTATAAATAGCTCTTTTCCATATACTTTAAAATTTGATACCAAACAAAACATCAACAATACAATCGGGGTTGTAGAAATATCCACCATTTACTTTTCACAAGATTGGATAGCAAATGACATTCATTAGCAAACAGCACAATACATGTCATTATATACATGAGAAATAATGAAACTATCATGATTAAACCTCAATCTTCTAAAACTGAACAATGAAGAGACAAAAACTGTCAAATGTACACAAACACCACTTTTACACTTAAACATCAGTTCAACAATTTTATTAAATCTTTTTGTCAATATATTGTTTCAAAAATTTCAACAGCATAATTTTAAGACATACTGAATTGAAATATATGTAAATGTTTAAGATCCATGTATTTCAATAAATAGACATCAAACTACTTTGAAAATAAAACAAAATTTGTGCAAGATCAGCAAATTTGAGGTTTTTTAATGTAAAACCAATTTTCATGATGTAATACTTACCATAACTTTAGTATGCAAATACAGTACCTACACCCATCTTTGTATCCCAACAACAAAAGATTCAAAAGAAAAACAATCCCGCCCTCCCTACGATCCATGAGCCATCATGGCAGGAACGCAGAGTGATCTCCCTTCCTCTAATAACCTTTATGGCGTAAACCCCACAGAGGGGCAGCCAGGCAGATAAGGAAGAGGGGAGGATAGGGTGGGACTCCATAAAGTTATGGTAAGTATTACATCATGAAAATTGGTTTTACATTAAAAAACCTCAATTTCATTTCAGTAATAATTACCATAACTTTAGTATGCGAATTCGTCTTACCGTAGTGGTGACTAGAAGCCAGGCAGCCCCTTCAGCACAACCAAAGTAGTAGGGAGGGAGAACAGAGTGCTAAAGTGAAGGAAGGGACCTCTCTGTGAAAGAGCAGGTGTACCCACATGCCGCCGTACGGAAAGACATGGCCCGGGGCTAACGAGGAGGCCCAGCCACTGACTATGCCACCACCAAAGGTCCCAATGAATACAGGCCTTCTGAGTGGGAAGCTAGGGATCACAGATAAAAATCTGTTAAGGTATCCCTGCCCTGCCAGAATACTGCAGACATGACCTCCTGAAAGGAGGACTCATTGAGAGAAGGGCCCAGGATGAAGCAAGGGCCCTGACCTCGTGAGACCGCGCTTTCACTCTCGCCCGAGCCAGATCATCAAAATGCTCGTAAGCATACTAAATCACCTGGCAAACCCACCTGGAAACCGACTGGGAGGAGATATCTCGTTGCCCCTGTTTAATGGGCAAAACAGACGGGATCGAGAGCCCCGCCCCCCCCTGGTTTTATCAAGATAAAACCTAAGAGCCCGACAAGGACAAAGCAACCTATCTTGCTCCTCCGAGCTAGTCACAGCCAGGATCCTGATGGGATCGTGCGAGAACCCCGGAACCTGATTCTTCGCTAAAAACAACTCTATTCATAGCAAAGCCTCTGATTAGGGCAGAAAGAGAGGAGGACTAACCGATCTCCTTCCTGCCATAACAAGCAAGAACTCTGGCAATAGCTGTACGATAGCCAGCAATAGTGCCAGGTGGCAGATAGCGGTACCTAAACAGAGAGATTAGGAATTCCGCAATCAAATGCAGAGGCTTCGAATGAATAAGCTTCCTTGCCGACACACCAATCACAGAAGATCATCCAACGTGACTGGTAGACGGCAGAAGAGGAAGCCCTGATTGATTGCTCAATGCAATCTGACACCTCTTGAGAAAAGCCTGCCTTGGCGTGGCTTCCAGAGATAGCCTCAGCGCGTGAAGGTGGAGGATCTCTGGTCAAGAGTGTGTCGTTCTGGGCCAAGGCTGGCGAAGGAGATTCGGTCTGGTGGGGAGAGCCAAGGGCTCCTCCACCAGAAACGACAAGAGCTCCTGAAACCAAGCTTGCCTCGGCCACAGAGGGGCTCTCAGAAGTAAGGAGCAGTGATGCTCCCAGAACTTCTGTAGAACCCTGCCCACCAGGTTGAAGGGAGGGAATGCATATGCATACGTCCCTTCCTATTCCAGAGAAAGGGCGTCCACAGCCCACGCCTTACGGTCTGGGACCGGGGAGACGAAGGTTAGCAGCTGGTTGTTCAGGGAAGTGGCAAACAGGTCTATAATAGGTCTGTCCCACGCCTGACAATTCCCCTTGAAAATCAAGGGACACAGCTGCCATTCCGTCAACACCGGCTGGTGGCGCCTGGAGAGTGGCCACCAACACACTCAGCCTGCCAGAAAGATGCTTGACCGCTATGGTCAACTGCATGTCCTGGCAGAGAAGATGGATGTGGATGGAGAGGGCACACAGGACATGAGACCTGGTGGCCCCTGTCTCTCCAGATACGCGACAACTGTTGTCGGTAGCCACACTTTGGACTGCAGGATACCCCTAAAGGACTGCAGAGCCAAATGAACAGTCTCATCTCGAGTACACTGATGTGCTCCGAGAGTTATTCGCCAGACCACTCCCCCATCGAGGTAAGCTCACATTCCTGTCATGAACGCGTCCATGAACAGGATCATAGAGGGGATAGGCTTGGTCAGAGGTACCCCGTGGAAAACGTTCTCCTGAATGGTCCACCAGCAAGAGAACTCCCTGACCGACTGGGTAAGCGGGATCCAGGCCTCCTGGATGACGGAACCCAGTCAGACAGGAGGAACATCTGGAGAGGTCCGATGTGAATCCTCCCTAGGGGGACCACATATGCCAAGGAGTTGAGATACCCCAGAAAACTGAGGAA